GGGGGCGGGCGCTCGGCCACGCGGCCAAGCCTCGCCGCCCCCTCCTCCGCGGGGGGGGGGGAGAGGCCGCACGCGGGCGCCCGCACGCCGAGGAAGGGGCGCCTCGCCTCGCGGCAGGGGGCGCGCAGACCCCCGGTCCCCGGGCTTGGCGGCTGCGGCTAGCCCGGCGGCGACTTCGCCGGCGGGGCAGGCCGCGCACGTCCGCCCGCCCGCCCGCTCGGCGGCCGCCGCCGCCGGCATCCTGCCGGCGCTATTTCGGGGCCTCCTCGCCCGGCCTTGGGCGAGACCAGGCGCTACCCAATTAGGAAGCAAGCCGAGGGGCTGGCCCGGCGCGATATAAATAGCGCCGCGCGGCCCCGCGAGGGCGCCCCTGGCCAGGCGTCCGGGCGCTCGCCGGCGAACGCGCCGCGCTGACCCCGTGGGAGCCCAGCTCAGGACGACGCGGCGCGCACGCCGCGCCCGCACAGGGGCCTCTTGTGCCCCCTCGCCTTCGCACCCGCTGCGAGCGGGCCAGGCCTCCGCGGGGCTCCTCCGAGCTGGCAGGACTGGACCCACGCTGATCGCTGACGTGACAGTTTTAGTTCGTGCTCACGGCGACACAAGTATATCCTGCTCGCTCTCCCTCTTTGCAAGGAGCCGGAGCTGGCTTTTGTTTCGCCTTCCCAACAAGACAGTGAAATTGGGTATGGCATAATTGCCAGTGACTGGCCCGAATGCACCCCGTGAGCATCACAGCCAGCCCGGGCCTACAGCCCGGATCTCCCGGGGCCCAGTCCAACATGCTGCCTACGGTGGCTTTCCAGCTCTTACAACAACCCTTTAAGGGAGGCCAGTGCCCGCTTCCCCATAATATAAGCAGAGTGCCCGGCCAGCACCGAGTCTGGGAAGCAGCCATTTGTTTAAGTCTGGCACTGTGTTTGTGATTGTACTTTTTATCGCTCTACTTTGAAAATGCACATTCTGCTTAAATTTTTAAAATAATATAACTCAAAGCAGTTACCCCTATAATCAGCTAGAACATCACACACAAAGTATCAACCCCGCCCCCAAAAAGCGCTTTTCTACACGAAGCTTTTAACCCGTTCTGCGCTGCTGCTTTGCTGAGGTTACCACCTCCAGACTAAGAATAAAACGTAGCTCCTCTACATCGCATTTTCCCCAGGGTTTTACTTCTGCCTTTGTATATGTTATACAACCAAAAGGCGGTGGAAGTGCAAAAATACAACACCGTTTTCTAACATTTAATTGTGCATTTTAGCCTTGTTCTAATAAAAAAGTTGCAGACATGCTCAATGCGTGGGAGAGACTGGAGAATGCCAGTGTTGTAAAGCACGTGCACAAATTAGCACAAATGAGGAATCAAGAGGGTACAATAAATGCCTTGGGTAGAAAACCACCCTTCGGGGGGGGGGGGGCTTATCGTAGACTGCAGGGGCTCTTCGCTCCATTATCATCTTCCCACCCTTTCTGAGCATTTCTTAAAATGACTGCTTGGCACACTTTCCTGTCAGGCTGATGCCAGTTTATCAACAAACTTTTAAGGATGGTTTTTAAGTAGCACCGAAGCTTTGTTTGGGGTCCATTGAATCCACGCACACAAATAGCATTTCTGCAATAGCATTTCCACCAAAGAAAGCATCGCGCTCATCTAAGCATGGATTTTAAAGACCCGCACCACAGCCTCCCCGCCATCGTTCCAGGGCCTGCCCTAGGCACCTCTCTGGCTGGTCAGGGGAGTCAGGCCTGCCGCTGATGGGGAGAGCTAGCAAGGGGAAAACAGACACACAGAGGGCTGCATCTCCGGCCAGCTGGAAACCTCGGACTCAGCTTGCGGTTCTTGCAGCTTGCAGCAGAGAAGCAATTCCTGGGAAAGGCTCCAGGCAGCCTGTGTGGGAGCACTTTGGTCTGTACCTGTGGGACTGCAGCCTGTGCGGGGAAATGGAGACCTGTAGCACCCGGCGCCCCCCTACCTGTGTGTGTCCAAAGAAGTTGCTGCCGGCTTCCTCCAGCCACCGGGCCAGGCCCTGCTCCCTCCCCGCCTGGAGGCCCCAGCCCCGGTGTGGCGGAGGGCTCTGCCGCTCCTCCGAGGAATCGATCCGCGTGTGCTCCAGCCGCTCCCGTTCCCGGCCACGCGCCTTGCAGGGCACGGCTTGCTGCAGCAGAGGCGGGGAGCCGAGTGGCGGCCGCTTGGGCAGGTCCGACAGACTGGAGATGAAGGACCTCTCCGCTGCCCAGTCGCCTAGTCTGTGGGCCGAGAAGAAAGGCAGGCTGCCCAATCCAAGCCTCTTCCAAGGCCAGCAAGGAGGACTAACTGGGTGGGTGGGCGGGCGGGCGGGCAGGCGTCTTCCCTGCTGAGCCCCACATGGGCAAGGGTGGCTCGCTGCCCCCAGGGTCAAGAGCAGAGCTGCACTGCAGCAGGTGCCCTCCCTGGGAGCAGCTGGCCCCTCGACCTCGCACCGGCTGCCCAAGGGGAGCGATCTGGGAGCGGCGGGGAGCCCCCAGCCCTCCAGGTGGCACATCCCTCGTGTGGCAGCCATGCCCAGACGGGGCCGCTCCACCACGTTCTTGGCAGCATTGCCACCGGCTTCCCAAACAGCCGCTCAGCAGGACGGCGAGAGGGCAAGTTCGAGCAGCGCGTGGTGTCTGTGTGCCCGTCTCCTCTGCCAAGCCACACCTGGCCATGCCGTGGGCGCCCGCCTGTTGACACGCGGCGGCCGCTTGGCCGGGGATGCCCACCAGGGGAGCCTCGCGTGGGCCCACGGGGGGACGGCATCGGGGCGTGCGGGAGGCCGCCAAGCTGTGCCGGGAGCCGAGTGCCCCTCCTGTGGTGGGGCAGCCGCTCACCTGTCCTTGCCCTTGTCCGAGCCGCGGCCGACGGCGGGCGACTCCGAGCCACGGGCCTGGGCCCTCTGCTGGCCTGGAAGGAGAGAGGCGTCACGCGGAGCCCCGGCCCCCCGCCGGGCCCGGGCTCCCCCTCGGGCGTCCTCCCCTCTGACCTCTGACCTTCCTCCTGGTCCAGCAAGTCCATGAGGCCATTCATGGCGTCTGAGTCCACTGTGTCGTCCTCGACCAGGTCCATGGAGCCCAGTGGGTCCGGGCCGTGCACGTCCCCCGGGAGCTGCCCCGGGAAGCGGCCTTCGCTCGTGGCGTCCGAGTCCTCGGCCTTGCTGCACTCCAGGGAGGAGTCTTCGGCAGTCACCAGCGAGGGCGTCAGCCCCGAAGACCACACCTGCATGTCCGACATCTCCATGAGGGCGTCCTGCTCTGTGGCGGCCATGGGGATGGCGTCCATGATGGTCACCTCGCTCCAGTACTGGTCGGCGCGCAGCGGGGAGGGCAGTGCGTAATGCAGGGAGGCGGGGGAGAGCAGCTCGTCCTGCAGCGAAGCGTAACCTGCAGGGGCAGACGGAGGGCGACAGGCTGACTCCCGGGGCGGGGCGGCGGGGCGGGAGCGTGTGGGCCACGGGGTGCCCGCCCCCGTGCCCTGCGGCTCTTCCTGGCTGTCAGGCAACGCAGCCACTGGGACAGTGGGCCAAGCCGGGCAAATGAGGCTCGGTGTGGCGGAGGAGCCTTTTAGCCCGCGATCCAAATTTCATTTTGGTTCCGTTGTGGGCAGGCCAATGGGAGCAGAGACGCTCCGAACGCAAGCTCGGTTTCACTCGACCCTCTTTCCGCCAGGAAGGACGGTTTAGGAACGGCAGGAGAACGGGGAGGAAAACCGCACGCATCCGGGACACCACCAAACAGACGGTGTGCTTGGGCGGGAGGTGCGAGGGAAGAGCCTCGGCCTTCTGGAAGCCCGGGGACCTGGCTGGGCTTGGGGTTCTGCTCCCGAGCACAAAAAGCCCCCTGTCCCTGAGCACGATCACCCACGGGCAGGGTCCTAGTTAGACTAGAAGCGGCGGGTTGATGCGCCAGGGTTTTCCTCAGCTGTGTCCCCTGAATCCACTGCGCTGGGCCCCAAGGAGCAAGGCTGCCCATGACGACTTCCTTGGAAGCGCCCACGGGGAGACAGAGAGGGAGGAAAGGAAAAGAAAACGTGGCAATGAAACAGATGCCAGGCAGTTCTGGGCTTTCATTCATGAGGCTCAAGAAGCCCCGTGCCCGGACTGGGACTCGGAGATCTGGGTTAGGTCACCCTTGGCCATGAAGCTCACTGGGTGCCTTTGGCCAGGCACTGCCTCTCCGCCTAACCTACCCGACAGAGTTGTTGTTAGGATAAAATGGAGAGGAGGAGAATCTTGTAAGCCACCTCCTCGCAAGAAGAAAGGCAGCGTATAGCAGCATACGAATGCAATGTGCTAATAATGATAGGGAGAATGACGTCAATGGAGGAGAGGCATTTGTACTACAAATGAGCATTCTGGCCCCAATTTCCATTTGTGTTACAAAATTGATGTCTCCCAACACAAATAATTGAGCCTCATGAATAAGAACTCCCTTCAAGTCTTTAATGAGATAAAAAGTCCAGTGTGCAGCACTTTGGCATCTTTTCAATTTTTTAAATATATATAATGAATCAGTTGGCTTTTTCTAGTCCAGGGAAAAATAAAACAAATAATTGAACACCATTTTCTGCACATGCTTTGGACTTCTTTGAGGGTTTGTCAGTCCCCGAAGCCTTTTTTGAGAAGTTGCTACACACTCCATTTTTCTTGCTCATATTAAAGACTTTACGATTATGCAAACTCTGTTTCAATGAGGACTGTTTTCTTTTGCGTTTCCATTCTTTCCATCTCACTCAGAAAGGCAGGGAAAGGGAAAAACTACTGGACTGTGTCACTAGCAGGGCTTCTACAAGCCCTCGCCTGTCCCAGAATCCTCAGCACCCCTCATCTTTCCCAGAATCCTCTGCTGCAAGAACCAGCACTGCTACAACAGGTTCCTTGAAGGAGGTGAAGGCAACCTGCAAGCAAGATTGCTGCCTGTGGAGCTGATGCTCCCCCGTCCTTTGGAAAGCAAAGCAGATGTTGCCGTCTGTTTCTGCTTCCACACACCTGCTTGATTAGAGGGCAGGGCAGACAAGTGAATATTGCCCTGCTCCAACACGCTACATGCCAAATGATTTGGACTGCAATTCCCATCCACTCTCAGCCAGGGCTCTTGGAAATTGTAGTCCCAACCATCTGGAAAGTCCTGGATTTGGGAAGCTCGCCTCCTGCCATGGAAGCTGCAAACTGCCTCAAACACTTTTTGAAACAATCACGGAGTCCCAGCTTGATTCCTGTCTTCCGGACTGTGCTGCTTGAGCCACACGGTCAGAGGAAAACCGGGACTCTAAACAAACTCAGGGCCCGTGTGGGTCCTGCAGAAGGTCTCTGAGCAGTTCTTGGCTCAAATATGCACTGAAAGTCCTTGCTTTAGGGGCAAATCCGTACAAAGATGCAGAGGGGGGCTCCCAGAACTGGAATGAAAAGACTTGCCCAAGAAGAGGGGCAGAAGAGCTTTTGCCAAAACCCATGCCAAACAGGCACAGAACGGACAGAGATGGGCCCCTGTCCCACTAGAGGGGGGACCCCCAAAGGCTGTGCAGGACAGTTACTACTTGCCCTCTGCCCCAAAGAACAGGCAATTCCCGGGGGCCTTGCCGTCAAAAACAAACAGGGATGCCTGTTCAGGAAAGGCTGAACTCCTTTCATCCCACAGTCCGCATTTTCTTTCAGGCAAGCTCTCCATGGCAGCTTTTCAGAGGTGGTGAGGCCAAAGGCAAAAGGGGTAGAGGCCAAAATACAAAAAAGACCAGCAGATAGTGAGTTAAAACTCTCCCTGCAGGTGAGGAAATCTCAGACAAGGCAGTTCGACCTTTTGGGGGGAGAGACAATAGGGAAGGCGAGGAAACACCAATGGGTGGTTATGGCGGGAATGGAAGTGGGCCATGTTGGGGGCTCAGGAGGGCCGGGGCGGCCCCTGGGGCCTGAGGTTCCCCCTCTCCAAGGTTCCACAAAAGCCTTCATGGAAAAAAGTGGGATTTCGGCAAGCTAGACCAAAGTACAACCAGGGTATTTGCAATGGTGTCTATGCCAGTCCATCCTATTCTGCAGAAAAGCAGACCCGGGCGCCCCTGGATTTATGGAATCAGCTCCTGGGCTCCCCTTGCTGCCTGAAGCCCTCAAAAGATGGCGCAGCTGCTGCGGGACTTGCCCACACATGAGGGCAGGAGCCGTCTCCTCGGGGAGCCGATCTGTCCTGGCGGGCTTCAGAGCAGCCCCCCCGGCCGGCAAGCGGCAGCGGTGACACAAGGCAGGGAGGCTGGGGCGGCGGGGGCAGCGAGAGGCAGTGGCCAGCGACGGCCGTACAAAAGGACAAGCCTGCGGGAGTGGGGGGGCGTCATGCATGCTGCGGCAAGGCGAAGGCGAAGGCGGAAGCTCTCGGAGGACCCCGGTCGAAGAACGGAGAGGAGGAAGAGAGAGAGAAACCGAGACAGTGGAGACAGCCGAAGTGGGAAAAGAGCAGGAGAGAGGTCAGGATGAGGTCCGAGGACAACGGGGCAGGATTCCCCTCTGGCTGGAGAGCATGTGAAAGAGGGCAGGCCAGACTGGGGGTGGAATGCGAGGGAGGGAGGGAGGGAAGGAAGGAGGGAAGGAAGGAAGGAAGGAAGGAAGGAGAGAAACAGCAAGAGCGTGTTTGAAATCACGTGTGCAGCGCTCAGTCACAGCACTGCCAGTCCTTGGAGCAAAACGAAGTGAATTGCCGCGCACATCGGACTTGTGTAAGAAGCCTGAAGCGTCTCTTCTCCTCCCGCCTGGCCCCTGTGCCCCTCACCGAGAGCCTGCTGACCACAGCTCTGTTCACACCTTGCACAATTCGAGGCCTATCCAGATCGGCACTTCAAGCCACGCCTTCGCAGTTCCGCCCGGGTCCCACATCTACACAGAGCACTTGACTGCCCCCGGCCTCTGCAGCGGACTCCAGGCATCCCTCCGCAGCAAAGGTGGGAGCACAACCCCGCGAGAGGCATTCTGCATCCCCACTAGCGCAGCATCATTTGAACTGGCGGACACCCGGACTGCATAGCCCACCCTTCTGCAACTGGGTGCCTTCCAGACATGCTGGACTACAACTCCCAAAATTCAGCAGCACTCTTCTCCCTTGTGCTGTGCACCCAAGCAGGTTCTCTCTCTCCAACCCCCACATCAAACAATCCACTCACCTGCCTCCAGTCCATCGAGTTACACTCTCATTCCACAGTACAACAAATTCTCCCTCAAGCCAGGTCTGCACCTCCATGTCTTCTCCTTCGCTTATCCCTACCCATGGTCTCCCCCCACCCCATTTCTTGGCTCCCTACTTCTTCTTCTCTTTTCCACACCCCTAGCTTCTTCCCCATCCCATCTATTTTCCTAAATCTTTCTGGCCAAAGAAGATATTTTTTAAAAATAGCACGCTTGGTCCCAAGACCTCGGGCATCTTCTGCAGCCCCACCGGCTACCCGGTGGCAAGCTACCACTTCAGTGGACTCCTCCGCCGCAGCTTCCCTCTTGCCTCGCTTGTGCAAAAAACAGCCAACTACATCCCGGGGCCCAGGGACAGCCCAGGGCCCATGACTGTGGATTCCTTTGATTCCAGCACTGTGCCGGCCCATTCCAGGCGAGACTCGGCAAAGTGGAAGCGGCATCGGTGGGGGGCGGAGGCTGATCTCATGCCCTCAGCACAGGACGAGGGGGACAGTGGGGGCCTGGGGGGAGGGAGAAGGCCTTCACACTCAGCGCCACGATCCGGCAGGGCTGGCCGGGACTCACCATTCATCTGGGAGGGCGACAGGGAGTAGTCCCGGTGCGCGTAACGCTTGTCGCCCTTCAGGCTCCGGCTCTGCCGCGTGGAGCTTTCCAGCATGTTGATGATCTCGCTGCGGTCGATGTTGCGCAGGGCCGTGTAGAGGTTCTCCACTGGCGAGGAAGAAGGTCCAGTTAGCGGCGAGGGGCGCAAGGTCCCGCGGAGAGCGGCTGGGTGGCCAGCGGCAAGCACCGGCCGAGAGCGCGCTTGTGCGTGGCTGCTCGAAAACGGAGGAGGAGCCGCGCTGGATCCGGCCGCGTCTGGCTAGCGAGTCCGGCCCCCTGCCCGCACGGCGGCCACCCCGGAGCCCCCGAGTGGGACACGGGTGCGGTAGCCACGCCCACTCCGGTTCCCCAGCCCCTGGGGCACCTAGGCTGGGGAGGGGTGTGGAGCCCGCTTTGGAGTGGGAATCTGCCGGACTCCCGGGGCCCCAGCCCACGCTCTCGCAGCCACGTGGGGGACTTGGTCCAACACACCCGCTGCCTGTGTGGCTCCCTCCGGGAATGGCACCCTCCTGCCACACATGCAACTGGTAAAGCAGAAGAAGGCCGCTGGTTCGCAAGCCACGTTCTGCGAGCAGCTGCAGATTTCCTCTCCACTCGGCTCGCTTCCCAAGCCTGGGCCAGGCGTGAGAGGACGCCCCACGAGCAGAAGAGAGTCAGACTCCGGGAAGGCCGTCCCAACCCTAACCTAGGCCAGCTGCATCTGATCCTGGACACTAGTCCTGACCCTCCGTGAAGCCGTGCAAGGAATGTAACCTGCAGTTTGGCCCAAGAACACTGGAAACAGCCTTGTGCTGCACCAGACTCCATCTAGCCCAATACCGCTGGCACGGACTGGCAGCAGCTCGCAGAGATCTGGGGCAGGTCTTTTTCCAGCCCTACCTGGTGGTGCTGGGGATCCATCCCAGGACCTCCCGTGTACCAAGTGGGCACTCTGCCACAGAGGGCACAGAGCTCTCTGCCGTTAAGCGGGGCTAATAACTAGGCCTGCCACGCAGGTAAGTGAAAAAGTCAACGAATCGGCCAAGCACTCCACCCGGTTCTGCAACACTTCAGAAGCGCGCCGGCCTGCTTCCTCGTGGAAGAGGCGCTTCCCACTCTCTTCCACGCAGAGGAAGGAAAGAAGGAAGGCCTTCTCACAGCGGCAATGGCCATCTGTGGAGTTTGGTATGGGCTGCCCCAAAGATGGTGGAGAGAGGCGCAGAGAGCACCTTGCTACGGGGCCTCCACCTGAAGGGGGCAGCGGGGGAGCATGCAGACGGGTTTCCAGGCACCGTGTCTTTGGGTGCCGTGCAAGGAATGCCAGGTGGCTCTGGGCAAGGAAACATTCCCGGGGGGCCCGAGGCCGGTGTCTCTCCAGGAAGGAGGGGGCGGTGACCACAGCCCCCCCCCCCCCCGGCTACCGCTGGCACGCACTGGTGGCATTCTCGCCGCCACGGCTGGTCCACAGGTTCAGCAGGGCCACGCTTTGCTCAAGCAAGTTGTTGGGGTTCTCAACCCGGATCCCGTTGATGTCGTCCACACCAAACTGAAGCTCCCGAGCCAGCTCTGCATGGGGACAGGGGCAGGGAGAGGCAGACACAGGTCAGCGTGGTGGCCGGACAGGGACGGGGCCAGCGGTGCGTCTTCTTCCCCGGCCCAGCCCCGACAACAGGCCCGCTTTCCCTCCAGGCCCGCCTGGCTCCGCGTGCAAAACTCCGCCCTGCTCACCTGCCCAGCTGAGCCCCAGGTGCTCCGCGATGACAGCCATTTTCAGGTCACTCCTGTCCTTCTCCGTGCTGCTGACGGAACCTGAAAGGGGGCAGGTTGGGGCAGAAGGCTCAGAAAGACTGCGGGTACCAAAACGCTCCGGCATGGGCGAGGCCTTTCTGAGCCTGCAGGCTGTGGAAAGGAAGGCGGAGGAGTGCCTCTCCCTGCTCCCCAAGCAGGCGCCCTCCGCCTGACCAGCTAGCTTTCTGCAGGAGGGAGCTCTTGATTCGGAAGAGCCTTTGAACTCCCTGCCTGTGGACAGCTAGTAAATCGAGGGAAGCGCCTGGACGGGTTGCTGTGGCTTCTCACATGGACAAGCACCAAAAGACATGACGATCTCTGATATGCAGTTTAACACTGCATGTACGCATATTAGCAAATATTTGTTGCAATAAGGAAGTGCAAATAAGGAAAGAAAAATCTTTCCCTTCCAAAAAGTTCAAAGCAGCTTACAAGAAAATGCAATTTCTAGAAGTAAAAATACCCTGCAATTAAGCATGAAAACATCCTTGCTTGAAAGAAGAAATCATAAAACCCAGAAAGATAACCCCAAAGGAACAGATGCGAAAACTCATTAGCCACAGATTGTGCAAAGCACCATCCATCACAGCCCCTCCCACGATGAGGGTTTGGACGGGTCTCCAGAGAGCCCTGAAGAGAGCCAAGATTCCCTGTCTGGATCTCTCCGCCGCCTGGGAAAGCCCCTTGCCAGGGGTATTTACGGCAGGTAGTGCTGTCCCCAGTGACGATGCTACTCTCCGAGCGGACGGCTGAACAGCACTGAGCGCTTGCCTTGCAAACTACCCAAAGAGCGTCACCCGCTGGCCAGGCTGAAGAAAAGACAGCTAGTAATGCTCACAACACGGGTCCTCAAACTACGGCCCAGGGGCTGGATCCGGCCCGCCATGCCCATTTGGACCTGCAGCCCACGCCTGCCGCGGCCCCCCTTGACCCACGTGCGGAGAGGCAGCAGCTCGCTCGCTTGCTCGCTCGCTCGGGGAAAAGGCTCTCCAAGCGAGCCAGCCGCTGCCTCGAGCGCCCGCCTCGCGGCGTGTGCCTGCCCCCGCCTCGCCTTGTCCCCCCCGCCCCCGTGCTGGCCTGTGCGCACCTCCGGGAGCACCACCCTGCTGGCCCACGCCCAGCACCGGCCCAGCACCGGCCCCTTTCAACCGGCCCCCTGGCGAAGAGGTTTGAGGACCCCTGGCTTGCAAGAACATCAGCTCCTCTGCGTTTCCTACCAAAATCCTGCCCTCTTGGATACAGGAGATCTTTCGGCATCATCCTCACTCCCTTTGCCCAGCGGTCTTGCGGACACCTTTCCCAGTGCATGCCATGCCTGATGCCGTGGGGCAGACGACGAATGGGCGGCTTGTCTGGCCTACGACTCCCATCGCTCCTCACCTTGCTCGTCTTGGCTGGGTTGACGGGAACAGCCGCCAAAATATCCGCAGGGCCACAAGTTGGCCACCCTCGGGAAGCACCAGCCAGCCCTCCCGTGCCTCCCGTCAACACGCGTTTGATGCTCCCTGGGCCCCTCTGCAGCCCACTGCCAGAATCTCCCTTTGTCGACCCATTCCCCAAAATCTTATTCCGCAGGAGCAATCGGCAGGGCTGAGGACGCATGAGCTTTGTTAGCCCCGAACACCTTTGCAAGCTGCAAGTGCTCAGCGCCAGACCCTCCAAGAAATGAGCCTTGCCCCGGCTTCCAAGAACTGCGGGAAGTCACATTTTGAGGACAGCCAAAGTGAAGGGAGGAGGCAAAGCCTGGGAGGGTCTAAGCCTGCAGGGGCCCAGCTGAAATTCAGAGGGGCTTTGCGTGTATGCGACTCCCAAACCAATCCGCCCGGAGCGTGCCTTGGCCCCCCCTCCAGGGAAGGCCCCTGAGCGGAGCCCGGCCGCCCTGGCCACCTACCCAAAGTGCCCTCACTGAGCAGGCTGTATCTCTCGCGCAGGGCCAGCGGTGTCAGCGTCCTCCTCCGCTCCTCGCTGCCGGAACTCTGGGGGCAAAGGGAAGCCTGTGACTTGCCAAGTTCCACCAGGAAGGAAGGGGGTCGTTTGGAAGGAATGCTCCCCGCGCTGGGACCCGGTTACCCGATGCCAAGCAAGCGGAGGCAAAAACACCCAACCCTTTTCCGCATCCAGCAAGGATCCTGGGAAGGGCCCAGATTCTCCAGGAAACAACGGTCATCTCCAGAGTTTGTTCAGAGCAATCCTGGATATGTTCATCATTTTGTATCGGGTAAAACATTGGGGCTGGGGAGGGAATCTTGGGAGGGAGGCTTGGACTCGATGGCCTTCATGGCCCCTTCCAACTCTACTCTTCTAGGATTCTATGGTATTTAATGGCAGCTACCACAACTGGCGATTTTAAAACATGCTGTGTCGGTCCTGCAGTGTCTTCAAGATCTTTCGCACGACGACAAAACGACCCTTCCATCAGGTTAGCGAGACTGGGAGGTTCCAGTGTCTGTGGCCAAGGGAAGGGCAAGGGGGAGGCCTGGCCTGGGCCCGGCGGCTGCCACGTACCTGGGAGCAGGGGGGCATGGTGACATTCAGGTGGCACAGCATGTGCTGCAGCTCTTCATACTTCATAGGCTTCCGCAGGAAGGACAAGGAGCCACTTGGTTCCCGGCTGCTCTCCCGGACCTGCATCCCAAAACACGGGGGGGGAGGGGGGAGAGCTGACCACAGAGATTCTGCTGGGGGCAGGGGGTGCTCAGGGCCAGTGGTCCGGCGCTTCCTCGACCAGCATTCAGAAGCGCTCGTCTGCCCCCCCATTCCCTCCCGACTCAGAGTGCCCATGTCCGGCTCTTCTTTTCGCTCTTTTCTGAAAGCAGCTCCATTCGTTCCAACCGCCTCTCAGAACGGCATCCAAGCACCCCCTCTTCTCCACGTCCCGGGCATTCACCACAGCTCGGAGATCCCCTTCAAGGCTCTCGGAACCCATAAGCTCTTGGCACAGGGCAGGGCGGTGCAGGATCGCACCCTCTCGGGGCCCAGCAGCAGTGCCCTTCCCGAGCCGAGCGGGCAAGTGTGGGGGATCCTTCTAGATCAATGAGCTGCCCCCTCTGCCAGTCCTTCCTCTGGCGAATACACCTGGGCAGGGCGGGGGCGCAAGCGGAGCAGGGCCCTCGCCGGTCACCCGCCGGAGCAGGACGGGTCAGGCGAGCCCAGTTCCAGGCCAGGCATTGCCAGGGTCCGGGCTGCACCGCCGTCTGGGGCCCGTGGCCGAGGGGAGAGCCGCGCTCGCTGCAGCGGCTGAGCACGGGCCCCCTTCCCCCGCCCTCCCAGCCCTCACCTTGACGGGGATGATGAGCCGGTTCTCCCGGAAGGCCTGGAACTGGAAGCTACGCTGCTGGGCGGCCTTCTTGATGGGGACGAGGTTCCCGGAGAGTTCCGTGTGCAGTGGCATCCCTTCGATCACCTGCGGAAGGAGGCAGTGCTGCTTGAAACGCTTCCCGCTGCCCCGGCGGCTTCCTGGCATTGTCTTCACAGAAAGAGACGGGCGGCTAGGAACCTTGCCCACTGGTCTGAAGCCTTGGATCACCAGACAGTGTGGGACTACAGCCCCCAGCATCCCCAACCATTGCTCGCATCGATGGGGTGATGGGGTTTGTAATGAGTTTTTATATGCCATCCAATACGAAAAGTCGCTAGGCAGCTTACAAGAGACAAAAATCAAAGCAACCATATACAACACAAAACACGCTGTATCTGATAAATAATGATAAAATCAAGGATCAAACAAATTAACTGTTAAAATATTGGGAAAATAAAAAGGTCTTTGCCTGGTGCTGACAGGAATAAAGCGACGGCACCAGGCGACCCTCCCTGGGGCGTGTGTTCCAGCCGGGGCGCCACCACCGAAAAGGCCCCTCTCCGGGCAGCCACCCTCCTGCTCTCCTTCAAGGAGGGCTCCCGCGGAAGGGCCTCTGCCTCCGGTCTCAAGGGGCAGGCGGGCACAGAGGGGAGGAGGCGCCCCTTCAGTACCCAGGACCCAAGCGTGCAGCGCAGTCCTGCTCCTGCCAGGCCGGGGGCCCCCCCCCAAGCCCCAGGCGGCCAGGGCGGGGGGCTGAGCCGGGGGTACCTCGATGTCGCGGCTCCGCGCCACCTCCGTGAAGTTCTCGTGCTGCTCCAGGGTCTTGTCCACCTTGTCGTCGGTCATGCAGTAGCAGCGCAGGCGGCCCTCCCGCCCGTCGTTCATCTTGGCGAACACCACGAACTTGGCCATGTAGGGCACGGCCGCCAGCTCCTTGTAGAGCAGGGTGGCGAAGTGGACGGCCTCGGCCGTGCGTGGGCAATCCGCCAGCCAGAACCTGGGCAGCGGGAAGGGACGGGCAAGTTGGCTGGGGCCAGCCGTGCCGCCGCGAGAGGCCGCGGTGTGGGCGTCGGGCTCTCCCTGGCTTAATTATTTGCGGCCCCCCGAGAAGCTCAGGGCAGCGGGCAGGGGGCGCTCCCTTTGGCACCCTCACAACAGCCCCGCCAGGTAGGCCTTCTCACCCTGGCAGAGGGAGCCACCTGCTGGCAGCCAAGCCGTAAGTTGCGACGTTATGACCTGACCCAGAGCCGCCGTGCGAACAGGATCGCCAAGTGGGGAGTGGAGGGAAGCTGCCCGCTTGGTCGGAAGCGGGCCAAGTGGCTGCACGCTCCCAAACGGACCCTCGCACGCACCTGGCCGATACGTTGGTGGTGAAGTTTGCACACTCGTTGGCGTAGACGAGTTTTGTGGTCCCGGTGATGTCTTCCCACTGGGCCGGCGCTGTGCCCCCTGAGACGGAGAACGAAGGCACACGTGACCCTTGCGGAGACGCTCCCTGTGCCCGGCCCGAAACGTCCCCCTGGCCGGGGAAACAGCGCTTGGCACGGGCTCCTGCCCCCCGGGCTCCAGAGCCACGCTGCGGGACAGTGTTGCCCAAGGGGCTCAAGGGGAAGGGCGGGGGAGGACCGGAGGGGGACCCTGTGCTCACTCTAGGGAAGGGTCGGGGGTCAGCAGAAGCGCTTCGTGGCCAGGAGAGCACCCCGTGTGTGTCCGCCCCTTTCGTGGCCTCCCCCGCCAATCCTGAATGCCCATCCGATTGGGCTCTGTGCAAAGGGGGTCACAAAGGGGGAGCGGGGGCTTCTTCCTCAACGTCAAACCGTTCCTCCCACCTATGACGCTGCAGAGCAGCCTCAGGCTGGTCGTGTCCCCCTCGCCGCTGTCCCGGGGGTTCTCCCTCCACGACGGGGGCAAGGGGATGCGCAGCCCAATGGGCCGGTGGAACTTCCGGCGGCGCGGCTCCACCGTCACGATGGGGCTGAACGTGGCCTGGTTGCCCAGCAGCTTCGTCACCAGCTCATCCGGCACAGGCTGCGCCTGCGGGAAGGACAGCAAAAGAGCCGGTGGGCCTCTGTGGGGATTATCGGCAGTGAGCGGCCGAAATAGCAGTGCGGTCCATGGGGATGCAGGAGAAGCGGTATGTCCTCGAGAGACGCTCCCTGGTCAGTGGCTCATTCGCCCAGCGGGACCCCTCAGTCTGCCTCTGCCCCCGACAAGCCCCAGCTGAAAAGCAAGCTTCATCCCAGCCCACCCTGCGGCACGGATCCCACCATCCCCGTACCTGCAGGGCTAGCTTGACCTTCTTGGTGACGGCGGTTTCCGGGAACGTGGCCTGGACGTGGGACACCAGCGAGCTCTGCAGGGAGCCGCCCTCTGGGCCAATCAGCTCATAGTCCTGGCACACGCGGGACATGACCACGAAGTAGAGGGGGAAGTCCATGGTGATGATCCGGCAAATCCTCTTCTTCTCCAGCTCTTCCAGGCTCTCCAGCTCTGCAAAGTGGGCAGAAAGGGCCACGTCCTTACACTGTGCACAATGGGAGAACTGCTAAGGTGACACAAGGAAGAAATCCAGGCCGTCGTCATGGTTGCCGGCACAGAATTCAAGCCGGTATAACAAATCAATGGACCGGCAAGGCAGTTTTGCAAGCCCACCTTTCCTATCCTTCCAGTCGTTACGTTTTGAAAGCATTGGCCCTTTTCCTTACAAAAAGCCGAGCCACCAGTGGGGCAAACAGAGAAATCAAAGCAACCGTTGAACCGGGCAGGCGGCTTCAAAAAGTGGAGCTCGGGCAAGAGCTAGACATGCCATCAAAACACAGAACAGACATTAGCAAATTGCTGGGCCACATAATCTGCTGGACTGAAAAACCGCACATGCAGCAATGAAAAGGTTACGGTCTCTCCAGAGAGCGACAGTTTTCAGTAGCCGAAAATGTCAGTGCATTTCCCTCCATCATTTCTCCCCCAAAGCAGGAAGGAATGGTGTGAGAGGGGTACGGTTTGCCGGTTTGGCCGTTTTTGCCAAAACTTTTTGGGTGCTTCGGGAGTGCCAAAGAGCTGCCAGAAACGCCCAGGCTTCCTCCTAAGCCTCTGGAGGCTTCCCGTGGCCTCGGAGGGTGGCTGGGGCCGCCGCACGCCTGTTGGGATGGTCCCTTCCTCCGCTGCCTGCCAGGGGCTGTTCCCACACACCGTGGTTGGGACCGTGGCGAGTCCCGCTCGCCAATGCCCGACGGCTCCGATGCTGCGACGCACCAGGAACCCTACAGGCCGAGACTGCCCTTGAGACAACCTGCCTCCAAGCCACGGGACCTTTGCCGTGAGAACCTGGGCCTGGCACGACCGCGGTGCTCCTGCCCCGCCCCGCCTCTTCCCTCCGTACCTTCGTCCATCCCGTTGAGGACCTGGTCCAGGGCACTCTCCCCCTGGCGGCTGCGGTGCTCCTTCCACACAGTCCCGTTCTCGCTCCGCAGGACCACCAGTTCCCGGTCGCCACGCCCGTGCGAGGCAATGTGAGGGATTTCCACAATCACGGGGCTGTGGGAGAGCCGAGGGTCAGGGCCCAGAGTTGGCGGGTGTCACCGAAAGGTCGTGGGCAGAGATGGAAGGGTGAGCCCCGCGGTCGGGGCCAACCAGCTCCCGCTCTGGCTCCTTCGGCCACAGGAGTGTGTTGTGTGCAGAAAGACAGGGAGGGGCGCCCACCTGCTACTCACTGGAGAGTCAGCACTGCACCATGGTGCACCTGGTGGGAGGAGAGGAGGGCTGCTCCCCAAACGGCCCCATCGGCCCCTGCTCTGGGCCGCTGGCCTGGCCTGAGGCTACTGAGCCTCTGAGCTTGAGGGCCGAGTTCCACTTCAAAGGCGCTCTGGGGGAGCTGCATTCTGGCGATTCTGGCTGGCTCATCAGCAGGGCCAGGGCCAAGTGGGCGATGCAGGAAAGCTGAGAAGCCACCAGATGAAGGTGGGGGGAAGGGGGAACCCTGGCAGGTGAGAGCCTGCGAGAAGCAGTGCTCCTGCCACTGGCCAAAGGAGAGCAAAAGAGCACGGGAGCTCCCCGGTCAACAGCTACCTAGCCTGCAACGCCACTCCTGAGCATAAGACGCATGATGCAGTGGCCTTCTCTGGGAACCACCCTGCCGGGAAAGAGCTGCAGGAACAAAAGGTGCAGTTCTTTCCCAGCCAAACTTCGCCCATCGGAGAGGAAAGGAGATCGTCAGATGGGGTGCTTCTCCCAAAGACCCTTCGCTTGGTGGCTCCCCAACATTTTCTCCCCACTCTGAATGGCCGGGACGGCTCTCCTGCAGCTTCTGATTGTAACCAGAACTGCCGATGGGACGGACCCCAAGTGGAGCTGCTCCCTCAGGCAAATGCCACGTTCAACCGTCCGCTCCAGAGAGCTCCTTCCTGGGATTCTGGGAGGCTACAACCCGGCAGCAACTGCACTGCACGGCTCTTGCGCTGAGGTGCTCACTCCCACCTGCCATTCCAGGTAGCAGTGCTACGAGAAGCCCCTGCCGGTGGTGGGCATGAGGTTATGCACGGAGACGGAAAACGTTCCCGTGACACACAGCCTTCTATGATGCAACTGAAAGCTGCCGGTGGGAATGTTTCCCGGTGAACAGACCAGGTTCTTCCACAGTATGGCCTCTCCATGTGGAAAGCCTGGGATGCTTTGCATGGGAAACAAGAGTGGAAAATCCGGTTCCACTGAGTGCATGAGTGCACACAAGGCCGATGCTGCAGTGGCTTCTGCTTGGGTTTAGGGCTTCGGGATCTTTCGGGGCCAGCAATTCGAGGAATCGGGACCGGCGGCTCCCAGCCACGTGGTGGGTGACAGGAGCTCTTGCTCCGAGCGCAGCCTAACCGGGCCCTTAACTCCTCCAGGGAAGAGGGGCTGTCTTGCCGCTCCGGCGAGGGGCCTTCACCTGAGGAACTGGGCCCCCATTGGGCCCAGCGCGATCACCCTGCTGGCCAGCCCTTCTTCCTCGGCCAGCGGCGGCGGCGTCTGCAGCTTCTGGGGCTTGAACAGGCGGCAGGTGATTCGCGTGGGCGCCGCGCACGTCCGGGGAGGAATGATGACGCGGAGACCGTTGTGCCGGCTGCCCCGCATGGATCCTCCGCGGGCATCCACCATGAAGCTCACCAGGAACCTGGAGGGCAGAAGAGCGCGACTGAGCTTGGCCCCGCCTGGGCTTCCCCCGGAGCCGCCTTCCCGGACGTGCGCGAGGCCGAGGGCGGAGGCGCCCCTCCCCGGGTGGGCGGTGCGGGCCGCTGCTCCCCAGCCCACGGACCACGCCCCCGCCACCGGGTGCCAGTTCGGTCTGGGCGGGCCACACGGGCACCTCGGCCATCCCCTGGGAAGAGGCGGCAGTGGACGGGCGAGCACGCCCCACCGGCCGCTCCGTCAGGCTGCACCGAGGGAGGGAGGGAGGCAAGCAGTGCCGGAGGCCTCCAAAGGCTTTGTCCTCTTTTGCGTCCTGGGGGCGAAGGGCTGCGGGCTGCGCGTGCCAGTTCTTACTGACTGCATGCAAGCCGCTCCGTGGGCCTTTTAGGTTGAGGAGGGCAATCGGGCGACTAGAAATACATGGAAAAAGCCTCGCCAGAGATAGCAGGATGGGGCGGAGAGAGGCAGACAGATGGAGCAAAATCGAAGGAGCTGGCAAGGTTTTTGCTGCTGCGGCACCTCCGGTGGGCAGGAGGCCCTTGGGAGCTGCAGCAGGGCAACAGTGCCCGTTCGGTGCATGTGGCTTGTCCCGCAAGCGCCCTCCCTGGAGCCTCCAAGGAGCAGCATGGATGCTCTGGAGGCAGTTCTGGCCAGACCGGCCAAAGGTTCCACTCGGTCATCTAACGTGCAGGGGGAGAGGTGGATGCCAGGAAGCACTTCCGGACAGCCAGGGCCCCGAGGGGTGGAATGGGCTTCCACGGGAGGTGGCTGAGGCCCCATCAGTGCAGGTGTTCAAGGACAGGCTGGACATGCACATGGTGGGCACGTCGTGAGCGGAGCCGGCTGGAGCCCGGGGTCAGACTAGATGGCCCGGGAGACCCCTTCTGACTCACTCTGTTTCTATGTAGGCAACCTGGTGGCTGCCAGATGTTCCGGACAACTCCTGTCAGCCTCAGCTCACCAGGCCAATGCATGGGGATGATGGGAGTCGCCGTTCTGAGCATTCAGACGGCACAAGGCGGCCCACCTTCCTAGAGGCAGTGGCCTGCTCGGGGGGCTTCCCGGGGGTCCCCGCGGGGCACTGGTCCCCGAGAGGGAGAACTCACTCACCCCGTGTGGACAGGACTGGCCACTGGGCTGATGTTGTCCGACGTCTCTGTGGCCGGGCTGCTTGGGATGAGGGACTCCTCGTCAAATTCCTTGGAAGGCTGGGTGGGGAAGAAGCGGAGTCCCAATTAAAAGCAGATCCTGGCCCTGAAGCAGCTCCAGCAGCTGGGGTGGGCCAGTCCCCCCAAGCACACGCACCAGCCCCCCACTCGGCGGGGGCCACCCTTCCCTTCCCTTCCCTTCCCTTCCCTTCCCTTCCCTTCCCTTCCCTTCCCTTCCCTTCGGGCTCAACTCGCTATGCTCCAACCAAGCCCAGCAGCCACGGTTGTTTCCCAAAGAGTGACGTGCTGCTCTCAGGCAGCCTCGTGCCCCTTCCCAGTGGGAGAAGCCCCACGGCAGCGGCAAGGCAGCCTTTTCCGGAGCGGGAAGCTCCCTGTGCTTGGTGGACTCATGGCTTGGGACCCCCGCCTGGTACCCCTGCTGGGAATCCAGTGCACCTGCTGACTTCTGCCCCGTGGAACCACGTCCGGGGCAGCTCCCACGCCTTGACCTCTTTGCCCCGGGGCCATTCAGCTTCCTTCGTCTACCTCCGGATGCCCACCTGCCCAAATTTCCCAAGAACCCTCTGCACGACTCAGGGAAGAGATGGGCCGGGGAGCAAAGAGCCCCCAGGAACTGGACAACTGCAGCGGCGCCCCAGGTGCGGGGGCAGGCGGTCACCCTGCACTCCCCGCTTGCTGCTCCTCGGCATTTTTACGCTGCCCTCGGCAGGATCCCCAAAATCACAGTAATTGAGCACAAAGACTCAGTGCAACGGAGACTGTGCAGACTTGGTGAAATACAGCCGAATGGCAAAAGAATGACGACAGTGAGGACAACCGGCCTTTAAGGCCGGTGAATGGGCGCACGGAGAGGCCAGGACAAAGGAGCACCGTTTTACCTGCTGCTGGAAAAGGAATACTCGTAAATTCGGCGCAAGGCAAACCTTGGTGCAAGAGGTACTCCGGATGCGCCTCACTGAGGCGAGCCTGGCTCCTTCCAACCCGCTCTGGCCCAGTCCCTGACTGAGGCGGGGGAGCTGGAGGTTGGCCTTGCAGATGCGGCCAGGGCAAGCTGGCCCACGAAGGTCCCAGCCAGTCCTCGCCGGGCCTCAGACCCACCAGCCCCTGGGCCAGACACCCACCTGCTCCGGCTCCTCTGGCCTGATCAGCACCGTCTCCGGTGTGACGCAGGGGATCCGCGGAATAGCGGGCGACTCTTCCCTTCTGGGGAGGGAGCACAGAAACGGGGGAGGTTTACAATCGAATAAATACGGGCCAGTCACGAGTGGTCCTCCACCCGCCCTCCCCTGCAGATCTGTGGACCAAGGAATTTGCCTCCCAGGAGGCCGCAACGAAGGGATCCTCTGGAAGGGAAGGCCGCTGAGATGCTGAACACGGGATGCCCACCAACAGGGCAGGAAGGAAGGAAAAGAGGAGGAGGAGGAGGCGAGACGAGGGGCATACATGTAGATACACATAAAGAATTGTCAGGCAGCCCAGGGTCCCGGTGTGGGGGAGCACCTTCTGTGTTCAGCATGATATAATTTAACCATTAATTGTTCTGACTGATTTACAGGATTCAATTGCATTTGTACAGCAAGTTTTCCCCCCTTTTTATTTTTTTGTTGTTATTGAGGTATTTTTGTATTGCATTATTAAGTTAGTTAACAAAATAATAAGAAAAGAGGAGGAGAGGGCCCCTGTGTCCACTACAGAGCTAGCCGGAGCCCTCAAGCCTTTCCAGATGTATTGCAGGGTGGATAAACTACCCCACAGCAAGAGAGATCTCAGCAGTATAATATCAATCGAAGTGCAGAACCCAACACGTGCGTGATAAGAGCAGGGACATTAACACAATAATGGGCAAACCAGGGATGCTTGCCTGGAAGAAGACCTTCCGCCCGTGCCAAAAGCAGAGATGCGGGTGCACGCCGGGACTCGGCTGGGAGGGGACGCCACGGGGCGGGGGCCACTCCACTAAAGCCCTGCTGCTTCTCCTTCCCAAATGGACCACCAGGGGCGCCCTTCCGGAGGCCGAGGGCTCGGGCTGCCTGCCATGGGAAGCTGCCCCCCCCGAGCATCCTGGCCCTGTGTTGCTCAGGCCTCCGGAGACCTGCGCAAGAGCCCCAAGCCTCCCGCAGCAGCAGGTGGAGGGGTGGGTGGAGGGTGCAGCCCTTTCGGTGGACATGCAGATATGGGTAGCACTTCTTGCTCACTCCCCGGGACATCTCCACCCATATTCCCCATGAGCAGGGAATGTCTGCCAGCTCTTGACTGGGGAGCTCACCGCCCCCTCCCCCCCCCCTCCCCAGGACCCGATCTGCAGCAGCAACATGCAGCCCTGCCCTCCTCCTCTCCCCACACCCCGCCCCATGGCGCGCGTCTTACGTGTGGTCCAGTTTGGGGACAAATTCCACAATTTCTCTCTCATCTTCCTGATACTGCAAATCCTGCTTAGGTGCCTTGGGCCCAGGCGGCTCCTCTCCTGAAAGAGAGATGGGGCTGGGCATGCAAGGCTGGCGGGGACAGCGGCCAAGCGGGCCTGGCTAGCCAGCAAAGCAGCTCAGCACCTCTGGCCCACCTGGCCACAGAGATGGCTGACCTCCTGCCGCCTCGAGGCCAGGCCAGGCCAGGCCAGGCCAGGCCAGGAGAGGGAGGGCAGGGGAGCTGGACGGCGAGCAGGTGCGGTCCAGCTCCTCTTCTCGGGGCTCCGGGGCTGCCGCTCTCCGCTGGGCTGGTTCCCGTGACCCCAGTGACACACGGCCAGTTGGCTTGCAGGGGCATCACCAGGGCTGGCGTTCGAGGCCCAATGCGGTGAGGCTCTTTGCCACAGGCTCCTGAGACCCTGCAAGGTCCAAGTGCAGCCAGGAACGGCATGGACTCCAACCACAGGGAAGAGCCAACGGCAACGCCGGTTTGGCAAGCTGGCGAAGGGCGCTTCAGCCGGCCAGACCAGGGATTCTGGAGAGCTGGGCACCGGCGGGCAGAGGTTCTGCCTCCAGGATGCGCGTACGCTGCTTTCCCCACTGCCACCTCTGGCCCAAATGCACCTGCGACTCGGGGTCCCAAATGGAGGAACCATCGTGCCGATCTGGCCAGAGCCAAAGGCGCCCACACGCCGAGCAGCAACGCCTCCTCCAACCCGCGCAGGGCTCTCCGTAAAGCCCCCCCAGGCTCCAGACCAGGACTGCCGAGGTCCTTCAGAGCGAGCTGGGTGGAAGAGCAGGCCAGGAAGCCTGCTGCCTGGGCTGGGGGAGCCATGAAGGAGGGATCCCTCCCCTGGCTGCTGGAGGCAGGGATTGTTGTGTGGTGGGGCAGCTCAGGACCTGGTGGAGGGGGGTGGGAAAGGGAGGGGAGGGGCTGCATGGAGGAAAAGGGCCTGGAGAGGCAGCCGAGGTTCGGGAGCAGCAGCAAGAAGCAAGGGGTGCCAAGATGCGAAGAGAAGACTGATTCGGCCCGAGGAGAGGGCCAAACCCAACCACCTGCCGAGTGGAGCCCAGGAAGGTCCGGCAGGCCTTCTGGCGTGGGTCGAAGCTTGTGCGCAGCAGCGACGACGGAACGGCACCCATGCAGTCGCTTGCCCCGGCCACCCCCTCCCACCATCCACAGACACAATGGAGCGGCGGCTGGGCAGGCGGCCCCGGGGGAGCCACATGTGGCATGGGATGGAGGCGTGTGCGCCCGGGAGGTCCCACGGGGTGGAATGGGACGGATGGGTGGGGCGGAGAGCCAAGCCTACAGAGACAACATACAGTTCATACCCGGGAGAGGTACATGAGCAGTGCCTGGAAAGCAAGAAAAAGAAAAGCAGGGTTGAACGAGAGGCTGGGGCGACGGCGGCGGCACCGCTGGGGTCACACCCGGGAGGGGCCGCTCGGAGGCCTGGCCAGGCATCTCCCAGGGCGGGTAGACACTTGCGGAGGTTCTCTGACTTGCCCCCTGAATCTCGGCTTGCCTCTTTGGCAGAAATTGAGCATTTTCAATCAGGAAAAAATGGCATTTTTGCACCCTGCATTTTCCCCAGTTGAAAAAAGCGCATTTTGAAAAACATGCCCTTCTTTTTCTGATGGAAAATATGCGTTTCCCCCTTTGGCTAAAGCCCAAAATGTGATTTTCGGGAGGGGGATGCTCGCTCACACAGGTGAGACGCTGGGCAGATACACTTCTTGCGAAGTGCAAGCATTCAAGCACAGACGGAGATCGAGAGCTTCTGAGCTTCTCCCGGGAGCTGAGTTCCTGCTTGCATTCAGCGACACAAACGGGGCATGTTTGCCAAAAGGGGTCGCGCTGTGCCCCTCAGCGCCTTGCGTGATTCTGGGAGAGGCAGGAGGCAGCTGGAGAAAGGCAATCCCTGTCCCAGAAGGCTGAAAATGTTCTCCAGCCTTCTTAGAATTTCAGCAGGAATCACTCAAGCCACTTCAAGCATAGCTCTGCCCCCGCAGGGCTAGAAACTTGAGCCAATTTTTTGTAGTTAAAAAGAATAACATGGAATTTTACAGTGAGATACAAAGAGACTGCTTTCTGCACCGAGGGCTGTAATCTCAGCCCCATCCACGACCAGGTTCAGGTACTGCCAGGGAGGTGAACTCTTTTCCCTGAAGGCTGGGCTGGGAGGGGTCAGACCCGAAGAAAGACAGTCTCACACTCCCTAAGCGGAATACAAAGAAAGGTGGCGAGCCACCTCTGGCTTACTGCCAAGTCATCTATGAAGGCTCAAAGGACAAGCTGCTCATCCCAGTACTACTGGGGTGGGGCTGGGAGCGGGAGGAATGCAGGACGGGGCGGGGAAGAGAAAGGGGCACTTTATCAAGCAGGAAAAAAGGATTGGGAATCTTTCGTTTCCATTTATCACTTTGACCCAGTTTTCTACAAAAAGCATCTGGCATGGCTGGTGAAAATGGAAAAGATGTGCAAATTTTGGCTCACAAAAGAAGTCGAAGGAGATGCTCTCCTTTTGTACCCTTCCATGCCTCCCTCCCAATCCGGGACCCAGAGCTCAGGAAGCCAGCCCCTCGGAACTGACCTTCATCCTCAGAAACATCCAGGATTTCGTCCACGGTCTCTGGGAAACTCATGCGGTGCTTGTCGCCGAACGGCTGCAAGAGGGAACAGATCAGACAGGAGTGGGCCCCCCCGGGACGACGAAAGCACGCCCAGGGGGCTCGGCCGGGGACTCACCAGGGAGCTGGTCTCCTCGGTGACGATTTTCAGGACATCCGTAACAGAGATGTAGCCCAGCCGCTTGGCAATGGCCAGAGGGGTGGCCCCGTTCTGCAGAGAGAGAGAGGAGCGCACACACGCCTTGTGTGAGCCTCAGGCCAGGACAGGGGGCCACTCTGGCTTTCTAGCGTCATTTTCAGCTCCGCCTTCGAGCATTTCCACTTTGCACTGAGAAGCTGCACGGGCATCCGGCCTAATTCATGCAAATCCACTCCTTTGCATCATGGATTCGGTTCAGCCGGATCCCCAGTGTGAGGCCCGAAGGCAGGGCTCTTGGCACCCCGAGCTTGTCTTCCCCTCCTGCTTTTTAATCTTCAGCGTATTTTTCTTCGCTCCGCTTCCACTGGGAGGTTGGCACGCGGCCCTCCCACACCATCAGGCTGGGCACGGGAGGGCTTCTGCCGAGAGGCCGGAGAAACGGGGGCCAAGGTGGGGAGGCAAGTCCGGCCCGTGAGGGGCCAGCTCCCGAGGGACGTCGCGTTCCACACTCACCGAACTGACTTCGTTGGGAGAGGCGCCATGCTTGAGCAGGAGTGTGACGATGTCGGTGTGGCCCTGCTGGGCGGCTTGGTGCAGAGGAGTGTAACCCAGCTGCAAGGGGAGCGACAGAACCACCATCAGCGAGGGCCACCAGGACCAGCTGGCGAACTCGGGGCAGGAGCACCTGGTGTCTCGCCCTGACGGCACCACTCACTTCCACGCCGGTGAGGCTCCCCAGATATTTCTGCCCACAGTTCCCATCAGCCCCAGCCCGTCTACCTGGGCTGGGAGCAGGCTGTCCAGAGGAGTGCCTACGCAGATGGGTGGAATGAAGGGGTCTCTGGGGGACACCCTCCCTGGGCTGCCAGTAAGAGAGTTTGGGTGGTCAGTGGCAGGGAGGTGTCTGGCTAAGGTGCACGGCCCCCCCGGAGGCCTTTTGGAAGGGGAAGGGCCGAGCCACCCGGGAGGCCACAGGTGGCCTCTCCCTCCACCTGCCGCCTCCTGTTCACAGGATCCGGCAGTTGGCAAAGGGGAAAACAATTCGGCCTTCGTGCGGCCGTCGTGGAAGGACTCGGCCTGCGCGCGCCCGGCACACTTGTCAACTCGAGAGCCAGAAGCCGGCTGAGCCGCGGAGCTGGGAGGGTGGTGTGCTTTGCTTCAAAAGGAGGCTGCGATTTGGACGCACATGGATGTTATAATAATAATAATAATAATAATAATAATAATAATAATAAAATATGCAGTCTGCACAAATTGCACCTGTATTTTACAGACACATCTCTATGTCACGGACATTTCTCACGTTAAAAATATGTGGATCGTGACTCTGTTATTTATTTATTATATTCATATCCCACCATTGATTCCTTCCAAGGAACTCAAAGGCAGCTTGAGTTATCCCCCCTGAAATCCTCTCAACAACAACCCTGTGAGGTAGGCTGGGCTGAGAGTCTGTGACTGGTCCAGAGTCACCCAGTGGGCTCCGTGGCTGAGCAGGGACTTGAACCCAGACCGCCTGAGTCCCCGTCCCACGCTCGTACCCACTTCACCACCCTGGCTTGCTTTAGAAGTGGAAAACCATGTACTGGCTCAAGTCACACTGGCCTGAGACAGCACCAGCACCGAGCAGACAGGCCGGGACCCGAGTCAGGTAGCTGAAGGAACCACGGCAAGAGAAACGTGCCGAGAAGCACCGAAGCGCGTGATATGCTGGACGCCTGTGTCCGGCCCACCTGGTCTTCCCTTCCGTGCACTCTGTGAGACGCCACTCGGCATTCCTGGCCAATCCAGGCCCAGAAGCGCTGCAGTCGCTTCCATCAAAGCAAGTAAGTCACGGGACTGTTTTCATACCTTGGTCTTGGAATTGACATCTGCCTGATGTTGCAGCAGGAACTTCACCAGCTTGACATTCCCGTAATGACAAGCCACGTGTAACGGGGTATAACCCATCTGCAAGGTGGACAGAAAGGGACGGGGCTCATGTTGCAGGTGGTTTGGGGTGCAATTCTCCCTTCTCAGCAAAAAAATCTTCACAGAGATTCAGAGATGCAACCATGACCTCGTTTACACATCATAACACATCGTACGGGGGGGGGGGGGAGTATGGATGATTTTTGGTTGACCGTGGACGATCCAGCATTTAGAACCCACCAGTAATCCATGGATTCTCTTTGTGGCTTGTCTGAGGTTGAACACTTATGGTTCAACCATAGCGAAGGGTTTGCACGTAAGACAACCCATACTCAGCCCACATTGTGGGTTGTTGTTCTGTGTGAGTCAGGTCTACCACTGTCCTTGGGAAATTAGCCTTGTTCCTAATCCTGGGGCTAGCCCCAAACACAGAAGTTTAAGGAGAACATCCAGACGTGCTTCAAAACCCAAAGCACCAAGAATTCTTTTTGCAGGATGGAGCAGCAGAAAGCCCCCAAGGCAAGCGTGACTTCCCCCGCCCCTGAATTGCCCTCCACAACAGCGCGGCATGCTCAGGAGCGTTCCAGAGCTTGCCACGCGGTCCTTTCCGGCTTTCTCCCAGAGCACCAGCCTGGGGCAGAGCACTTCCTGGAAGCGGGGGGAGGCCGCAAGAGGACTCACCCGCGTCGTCGCATCCACACGGGCCCCGTGCCTGAGCAGAACATCTGCCACGGGGATGTGTCCCTCCTGAGCCACCAGGTGGAGCGGAGTGAGGCCACTCTGGAAAGACAAGCACAGCCTGGGTTAGGCGGGGGCCAGCCGGGCTGGGGGTCCCTGGGCGCGCTTGCTGGGGTGGCTGCCAGGCCAGTTTTATTTGTTTACTGATTTCGAACTTTTCTAGACCGTCCCTTACTGTGGGCTCAGGACAATAAGGCAAGGCAAGGCAAGGCAAGACACAGCGTCCTAATAAAACATTTCCAATCAACCGTAAAACCCCTATTAAAACAATCAAATCTTAAAACATTGGGAAAATAAAAAGGTTTTAGCCTGGCACCAAAAAGAATAAAGTGTTGGCACCAAGCAAACCTCTCTGGGAAGCATATTCCACAATCTGGGTGCCACCGCAGAGAAGGCCCTTCAGGGAGGGCTCCCGCAGAAGGGCGTCTGCCCCAGACCTTAAGGGGCGGGCAGCCACATGTGGAAGGAGACGCTCCTTCAGGTAACCAGAGCCTCAGCCATTTAGGGCTTTATAGGTCACCACCAGCACCTTAAATTGGGCCCAGGCTTCGACTGGTAGCCAGTGTAGGTGGAAAAGGGCCAGCGTTATGTGTTCATGCCTGCCGGTCCCCGTTAACAACCTGGCGGCTCTATTCTGGACCAGTTGAAGTATCCAGACCACCTTCAAGGGCAGCCCCACGTAGAATGCGTTGCAGTAGTCCAGTCGGGGAGTTACCAGGGCGTGGGTCACCACTGCCAGGCACTGCCCATCCAGATAGGGGCACAGGTGATAAATCAGCTGACGATGAAGGAAAGTGCTCCTCACCGGCTTGCAGAGATCGATTTTTTGTTGGGGAGCTTTGGCTTCCTCTTGGCCAGAAGCACATGGAACGCCTGCCTTCCAAGCAAAAGGCACCGATCCCTCCCTTGCACTCCCGTAAACACAGACCAGTTCCGAAGCAACCCAGCAGGGGCCCAAGCTGATGTGGGTCAGCCTCCCCTCGTCAGTGCAGCCCCCGAGCCCAGCCCTGGTTCCTGGGAACTGGATGCTTGCAGTGCTTTGCAAATCACCCGCGGGCCTGAGCACTTCTCCTCTTCTAGGTGCTTAGAAGAAGAGCACGGAGGCAATCGGGGAGAATGGGTTCAGCAGCACAGCCCCGTTCGGCACACCAAATGCCCCGGTGCCTCCGGGAGGCCTGGAAAAAGCTCCAGGGAGCCGTTTCCAGGTGGTGTGGATGGTCCAGCAAATTGGCGCGGGGTGAGGCAGCGGCCTCTGACAAGACCCTCTTCCGCGGTCCATCCCGGAGCCCGCAGTATGCAGAGCACACGACCCCTGGACAGGGAAGCCCCAGCGGGGGCACCGTTACCGCCCTGCAACGTCCCGCGTGTGCTGAGGGCTCCCGGCAAGTTCATCCCCTGCGAGACGAGTGGACCAGGGCTGGTTCTTCACTGCTCTGACGGGTGAAGTTGGGAACGGGGTCCTTATCGCTCAGGCTCGAGATGCCCGGCTGGTATCACCCCTTCCTCCAAATCAGGTGGCAGGTTGTGACCACGGGGCTTTTGTGTGCACAAGGGGGAAGGGGGGGGGGGGGGGGGGGGGGGGGGGAGGGGGAGGAGAGCCACTCACCTTGTTGCCGAAGTTGCTGTTGGCCTGCTTGGAGAGGAGCAGCAGCGCCATCTCGGCGTGGCCCTCCTGGGCCGCCAGGTGCAGCGGGGTGACCCCCTGCGTGGACTCGGCGTTGGCGGACGCGCCGTACTGCAGCAGGCTGCTGGCCACCTCCATCTGGTTCTGCCGGGCGGCGATGTGCAGCGGGGTGTACCCGTTCTGCGGGGGGAGCCCTCGTCAGCCCGGCCAGGCCCCCGTTCGGAGGGCCAGGGGTGCCCCCCTTGCCCGTTCCTGCCTCAAGGGCCGAGAGCTGCAAGAGGGAGCTGAAGGCTCCTCGAGCCGAAGCCCTGCTGCTCCCACAGGAGACAGGCTGCGCCCGCCCGTGGCAGAGCTCCCTGCCCTCCTGGACACACGTCCCGGGTGACTCGCCAGGCCACGCAGCCCCCGCCTGGTCCCACTCTCTGGCTGGGCCTGGCAGGCATCCGAAGCACCGGTTCTGGCACGTGCCTCGGCTCCACCCCTCCCTCCCTCCCTCCCTCCCTCCCGCCCCCGGCATCCAGAACCTGGGCATCCCGGCCGGAGCCCCAAGGAGTTGGGCACCCCACGGCCAAGAGCCCTCTGGAGCCGCGCCCCTCCCAGGTGCTGTCCCAGTGGAAGGACTGTGCCCCGCGGATGGGGGGCTGGAGCTGAGCCCGATTCCCTCAGGGAGAGGAAAGCAGCGCGTAGCCGCTCCCTGGCCACTTTGACCCCATCGGCCGTGGCAGAATCGTGCCCCCGGAAGCTCCCCAGAGGCCCACTCCTCACGTTGCCCAATTTCAGGGCTAAACTGGCCCCTGTGCCCCCAGGCGCTGCCCCCCTCCCCCCACAAGAGCCTTCTCGGCCACTGCTCCACCCCCGCCGTCCAAAGCGTGTGGGGCCACCAGGCACCTACCCAGGCTGTGCTGTGTGTGGAGGCCCCCCTGGGCAGAAGCATTCTGACGATGTCCAGGTTGTTGTGGTACACGGCGACGTGGAGGGGCGTGAGGCCGTTCTGCGGAGAGGAACGCGCCAGAGGAGCCGTCAGCTCGCGGCCGGCCGCCTCTCCCGCCTGCCCGCCCACTGCCCCTCGCGGGGGACGCACGCACCTTCCCCGCGGCGTTGGGCTGGGCGTCGCGGTCCAGCAAGACTTCCGCCACGTCCACTTTCCCGTATTTGGATGCAACGTGCAGAGGGGTAAATCCTTTCTGGGGAGAAACAGGGTGCATCAGTGGCGAGCGTCCGGGGGGAGCAGGCTGTCCCACGAGGAGGATCGGGGGGGGGGACCCAGAGAGGGGCTTTAGGGTGCAGCAGAGAGAGGGAGGCTATCAAAAGCTGAAACAAGACGCGGGGAACGAGGCTTCTCTCCTAACGATGGTCGGTCAGTGAGCCACAAGAGGGGTGAGTTCAGGATCAACAGAAGGAAATGGCCCAGATTCGGGTGACTTTTAACAAGACAGGTAGACCTATGTGGTGGCCTTGCGAAATAATGAGCAAAACGTTGGATGCTGATACATGCGGAAGTGCAGGAAATTTTCAAGGCTACGTTTCCGATGCATCCCAAGAATATGCTTTTGAACAGAGTGCCAGGGATCCTTTCAGAAAAGATGCCAGAGTGTCCAGCTATGTGAGACCAGCAGTGAGAGTCACAACTGCTTTTACATGGACATTATCAGAGCCCTCAAGAAACAAAGGATGGAGAAATGGACTAGTAGAAAATGCTGATGCGGCAAAGTTAACCATGCAAATAGAAGATCATTGTGAGAACATAGAAAAATCGGAAATGGAGATTTTATTATGCTCACTTTGATTAACAGGAGTAAGGAAACTGTGGAAAAGGAAAGGAAAAGCCGTAGAGGGCTTGAAGAGATTAGAAGTTTTGCTGTTTTATGGGGGTTTTTTTCTGTTAAACTCTTACATAATGCTGAGAGATGCAAGATTGATAGTTTTGGGGGATTTAATGTATAGGCTGCATTTGTTTAAAATTCCCTTGGCAACTTTGCTTACTTTGTTTATTTTAGTTTGCTCTGTTTTAGATTCTTTTTATGTATTGGTATATGTTAAGAAAATAAATATTTAAAAAATGACAGGTAGGCAGGTGATCTGTTGCTATCAGCCAGGACACCGGAAGGGCTGCTCCGAGGCTGGAGACAGTATTTCTCGAAGTATTCAATGCCCCACGGGCCAAGCTGGAATTTCAGGCCTTCCTCTCTTCCTAAATATCCACCAGATGAGGCCCTCAACTAAAACATGCCGGCATTTTGCAATTGGTTTCCTTCAGCCCCGTTGTCTCCACTGAATTTTGCAACGCTGCTCTCCAGTCACGAAATGCAGAGCCAAATGCATGTCTTTGGCCAAGATGCCTATAAAAGTGGGTGCTTTACGCAAAATGCAGCAAAATAGTGTAAGGACTTTTGTGTGGATTAAAAAAAAATGACTATCAAGACAAAATGGACCTCAGACTGGAAACACAAGAAATGGGAAGAAACAAAACGGGCAGGTTCCTCCAGTCATCCCTCTAGCAGGAGTTGGAGGGGATAAGCGTTCCTGTGGCCTCGGTTTTCAGGGTGGGGGTTTCGTACAAAAATCCTGCAAGCGAGGGGAGCTGGAGGGGAGAGGGGAATGCCCGCTGTCCCCCGCTCGCTCTGAAATGGCTCCGGGTCTTGGATAACTGCTGAGCATCCCCCTTCTCCCAGCCTGGGCCAGCGTCCTGTGGGAACGGCCTCTCCAACCCTCTGCTTGGAAGAGGCGGGAATGAGTCCTCCTGCCACGGTGGGAGGAGCGTGTGGGGGCTGGAAAGCTGTGGGCGCGTGATCCGGTGCCCCCTTTTCCTACCTTGGTCATGACAGTCTGGGAGGCCCCCTCGTCCAGGAGGGCGCGGGCGCAGTCCAGGTGGCCTTCACGGGCTGCGAGGTGCAGCGGCGTGTGCCCGGCTGTGGTGGACAGGTTCGGATCCGCGCCGGCTTCCAGGAGAAGCTTCACCACGGTGCAGTGCCCGAGGCGAGCGGCACAGTGCAGAGGGGTTTGGTCATCCTGCGGCAGACAAGGAGGGGGTCCACATGAGCGCCCGGCTGCAGACCTCCCCTCCACTGGAGGAGCAGCCCACCTGCCCGGCACAGGCTGCCACAGGAGGCTGCGACCCCCAGTCCAACGGCCCCCCCTGCAGGGACACTGTGGCAATGCAACGATATCAGGCCGATGGAGCCACACGCTAACTCGGCCTTCCCCAGGCCAGGGCCCCTGGGATGGTTGGACGTCCACGCCCATCATCCATAGCTAGCACAGCCAGGCATGCTGGGATTCGGGGTTCAAGACATCCGGATGGCCCCAGGGTAGGGAAATCTTGCACTGGCGAACTGAATTCAGCACTCTGCACACACTTCGTGGCTCTACAGTGGGAGCACCTCATCCCAGGAACCGCGGACTGATTTAACGGGGCTTTCGCAGCCCCATCCACACAGCCCCAAGTGCGAGAATTCTGCTCTCCAGAAGAGGGAAGTCGGAGTGCCAAATTAATCGCCCCCTGTCCGCTTCTGCATTTCCGCAGACCTGCCGTGTGCCCGCGGGCCCGTTCCTGAACACATGGCGTGAGGTTTGTGTCCATTTTCCCATCGGGTCCATTTTCTATCTCCAGTTGCTGCCCACAAATTAAATGGGGCACAAGCAGTCGATAGGCGGTGCACCTATTGCATCTTCTCACAGCAAAGGACTTGCTTCTCACAGAATAAATTCTCTTGTAGGTTTCTTATTTTTCTCTGAGGAACAGAACCTGGACTTTTGGTAACAATAATGAGGCAGCAAGAATACTAGATTCTCCTTTGGATACTGCGTCTGTCTGTCTGTCTGTCTGTCTGTCACATTTGTACACTGCCCCCTGGCCAAAGGCTCTCTGCATTCCAGAAATGTAGGAAACATCTGCAGAGGCAGCATCTGGGCTGCAGCTCAGCCAGCACTCACCTTCGCCTTGGCATTGACCTTGGCCTTGTTCTGGAGCAGGTATTTAGCCACTTCCGAGTGCCCAGCACGAGCTGCCATATGCAACGGCGTCTCCACCTTCTGAAAAACAAAAACGGCGACAAGAGAAATAATAATATTAATAATGATACAGCAAAACCACCAGCAGCTGTTGAAGTCCCGTTCTGAGCCCAGCCCATCACGACGCAGCAGGTGAGTCTCCCTTGCATACGGCAGTCCCAACGGCTGCCCCAAAGTGAGGCTGAGTGGGGAGGGTTTCCTCGCGTGAAAATACAACCAACCGCAACAAATTAGCTCACAAGGAAACGCAAGCTCACAACACAAGGCAGAGCCAAGAGCACCTTCCGCCTTCCTCTCTCCACGCACGGCTTCTCCCCGCTAAAGATGCGAAGGCCTGGAGAAACAGCTGCCCCAAGCGCAGGACGTCACATTGTCCCTACTCACCACATTGGAAACGTTGGGGGACGCCCCACGCTGCAGCAGGATCTTGACGATGGGAAGGTTGCCCATGAAAGAGGCCACGTGGAGCGGGGTCAGGCCAGACTGTGGGGGGAAGGCGGCGAATGAGTGGATGCGGCACTTCTGCTTACGGCTCCTGATCAGCTGGGAGGCAGCACTTTACTCCCGAGAAGCACACATTTTCATCTTTTAGTTATTATGATATTTACAGCTGCCCTGTTTTCCTGCAAGAACCAAGCTGGCTTACATAAACCTTTACTTCTCCGTGTTCTCTTCGCAACAACCCTGTGAGGTAGGCTAGGCCAAAAGTCAGTGACTGGCCCCAAATCACCCAATGAGCTTCATAGTGAAGTAGGGACTAGAACCCAGGTGTCCCAAGTCCAGTCCAACACTAACCACTGCGCCACACTGCTTCTCAGAGATAAGTGATGCCAGCCAGCCAGCCAGTGCATTGGGCTAAAATCCCAAGAAATGCTTGCAATTTGGCTGCTGCTTTTAACGTCAGGAGACCAAGCTGTTTTGGACTTCAAGTCCCATTCGCCTGGGGTCAGCATGGCCAAGGGTAGAAAATTTGGGGAGGCAAACAATGGGAGGGCTGCAGCCGTCTGACTCATTAGCAGTCCTGCTGAGAATCGAGAGAAGGCTCGCTGGGGAGAACCAGATCACGCCTGATTCGGTAAGAAACTGCTGAACAAGCAGAGGTGGATGGAAGTAGACCTAACATTATTAGTCCAATTATTCTGCACCAGATCAGACAGTCAGGCAGCATCAGACATTCCCACAGACTGGCCCACACGCAGCAGCAACCTCCCCGAAGGTGGAGCTGACCTTGGTTGGGAAGGGAGCAAAGGGATCCAGCTTGGAATCAACTTCTTCTCCTTAAGCCACATTTCCCTAATAACTTTGCCAGTGTTTCAAGTGATGGACTTCTGAAATATTCTTCCTTTGTATGGCAAACCCAGGCTGACTGGCCAGTTTCAACACAGTACGGATTTCAGGCAGAAGCGTTTTGTCTGGATTGGCTTGGAAGGACTGGGGGACACTGTGCTCCCTTAAGTTCCTCTTGCATTCAGCCCGGTTTTCCAAAGTGAACTGAGCCGAGAGGAAGCCCACAAATGTTTGCAGGCCCTGTGCACAGCCTCCAAGTAAGGTGCAGCAGCCAAAGAGTGTCTGCAACTGGGCCTGGGAGAGGGGTGCTGCCAGGAATCACGCCAGGCCCCCTCGCTGGCGAGGCCCTCAGTACCAGCCTTCTTCAGCACCAGGGGCCGCCTCTGACCCCCACCAACCCCAGCGGCCCTGACAGAACAGGCTGGCGCTGCAGTGCAACACACTCAAAGGCCTCCAATTTGGCAGAGCTGCTTCAGGTACTCGGCCTTAAGAAGGAGCGCAAGGAAAGCCCGTCCGTGCCCCAAGCGGCGTTCCGCCCGCACGCGTGGAGCCGGTACCTCTGTCACGGCATCGATGGAGGCCCCCGTCTTGAGGAGCAGCTCCATCACTCGGATGTGGTTCTTCTTGCAGGCAATGTGAAGAGGGGTGAAGCCGTTCTGCAGGGCGGGGAGAGAGAGGGAGACGCGCTCAGCTCCGCAGCAGGCGGGCCTGGCCCACCTCGCCCCGCGGCGCCTCCCCTCACCAGTGCCCGCGCGTTGGGCTTCGCCCCCTTCTCCAGCAGGATCTTGGCGACCCGGTGGTGGCCGCAGTGGGCGGCCACGTGCAGCGGCGTGAGGTGGTCCAGGGTGATGTCGTCGATGTCGGCGTTGTACTGGAGCAGCAGCCGCACGCAGTCCAAGTGGTCCCCCTGCGAGGCCATGTGGATGGGCGAGAGGCCGTTCTGGGGCGAGAGGAGGAACGTGAGAGCCTCGTGTGCGTCGGAGGCTTGCCCAGCTGCAGCCCACCCGGCAGAGGAGGGCAGTGAAGGGGCAGCCTCGGGCTGGGTCCAGGATGCAGTGGATGATGGGGCTCGGCTAAGCCTGGCCCCTCCCCGCCGCTTGCAGTGCCTCCTCTCTCTCTTCCACACCAGCTCAATGCCCCAAATCCCCCAAAGTCTGTGGCTAAATGCATCCCGGCAGAAATGAACCTGCCACGGATGCACCTGAGTCTCACTTTCATCCCTGGCAACTCTGGTCCCCCCGGTCCTCTCCCCTGTCGAAAACGAGATTGTAAGCTCCTCGGGACAGGGACCTTGCCCCTTGCCAAGGCTGCTCTGCAAAATGGCCCTCAGGCGCTGTTGCCGCCCCTTTCAGTAGAAGAGGCCGGCACCGCAGCACGCGGTGGGGCGACTCCCTGTCCCTCCCTTCCCCTCCCCGTTCGTCACCTTGGTCTTCGCCTGGATGGGAGCACCGTGATCCAGCAAGATCTCGGCGATCCTCACGTGCCCGTTCCTGGCAGCACAGTGCAAGGGCGTCAGCTCGTCCTGGGGAAGCAACAACGGCACGGGGTGGTGGAAGGGCACACACGGACGGAGGGGGCCTCGCCGGCAGAGGGGCTGTGCTATTGCAGCCGCAGCCCCACCCCAACGCCCCGTTGGTGCCTCCCCGCCGTAAGGAGCCAGCCATATCCCAGTGCAAGGCAAGCTGCTCATATCCTTAAGCTCAGACCTCCAAGCAGGGCAGAGGAAACGGTATGGGGGACACGCTGTGGCTCTGCTTTCGGGGGCCCCCCCAGCCCGGTGCCCTTGGACTGCAGCCACCCAGCCAGAGAGGCGGCAACGGGGCTGCCCACCCGGCTGGGGGCCATCCTCACCTTGGTGCGGGTCTCGATGTGGGCCCCCCGGTCAAGGAGCAGTCGCACCATGATGATGTTGCCCCGGCGGGAGGCGATGTGAAGCGGTGTGATGCCGTTCTGCGTTTGTGGAGAGAGCAGAGAGCAGCGGGTGAGCTTGCTGCCAGCTGCCCCGAGAGCTTCGGGTGCCGGGCAGTGCAGAAGTTACGCAACGGTATCGCCAACACCACCACCACCACCAACAACAACTCTTCTAGCTGGCAACGAACTTCTCAGAGCGGCAGGCCGGTTTGCCCCCAGTCAAGAGCTGGGCTCGGGAACTTCTGCAGCCATTTTGAGGACGGCGTCCCCTTTGGGCGGGGCCCAAGCACTGGGCCACAGCAGGTGGCTCTGGAGGCACCTGGGCTCCCCCCGAGCCTTGGTCGAAAGCATCCAAAGCAAAGCTGTGTGGGATATTGGGGCGGCTCTCGGAGCCCTGGGGGCCCTTTGGTCCAGTCCAGGGGTTGCTCTGAAGGTGCATTCTGGGCCTTGGGAGGCCGGCCTGTTGCAGGCGCTTCTCCCGCGTTTTCTCCTGGCTCCAGGAGGGAAAGGAAAGCCGCCCCCTTCCCAAATGGTTTCTCACCCCTGCAAGCCCCCTGCTGCCCCAAGGGGCCTTGGCCCTCCCCCACAGCCGTCTCCCATGAACGTCAGCGGGGACGAGTCTTCATGGATTTAGCCTTTGCCTGGTTCACCCCTGGCTAACGTCTCTGGAGCCGGGCTGAGCAAGATCCCACAGACTGCGGAACACGGGGGTCCCTTTCCCAAGAGAGGCAGACCTGCCCCTCCATCGGGCTTCCGGGCTGCGTCATTTCAGACCGCAGCTGAAGGACCGCATGATGCAGTGCCTACAAAACACCCTGCGTGTAGAGAAGCACCACATCAGGGAGACGGTTCTAACCAAACCTTAATGGACTAGTTTTCTAATGCAGGGATTCTTTTCACAAAAAATGTGTACAGAGGAGCAAACAGTGGGCCCTTGGTCTGCAGGAAGAAATAGTTTTGACACGGCACAAGCGGAAGAGTCTGTACCCACCTGGGGAGTGAAGTTGACGCTCGCTCCACGGTTCAGCAGCAACTGGGCCACGTTGAGGTTCTCATAGTGAGCGGCGATGTGCAGGGGGGTGAAGCCAGTCTGTGGGAGAAGAGGAACAGGGAGACCCCACAGGCTGACGCTACGCTGCGTGCAGAAGGACTTTCTCCGATCATCCTAAACCTCCCACCAATCAGCTTCACGGGGTGACCCCGGGTTCAAGTGCTTGGTTGCACAAATCCTCCGCAGAATGGCACTCATGGTTCCTTCTCCCCCGTTTGTCCTCACAAGGACCCCCTGAAGGAGGTCAGGCTGAGAGATCGCAGCTAGCCCAAACATCTCAGTGAACTTCGAAGTTGGGAAGGATTTGAACCCGGGCCTCTCCATTCCAATTCCGACACGCCGTGCACTGTTATCAGGGCCAAGAGCCCAGGAGCTCCCCGGATGTTGCTGAACTGCTACACCCATAACCCACGGGGGCCACCCCGAGTGGCAGCCCCATCTGGGGGAGACGGCACCCTGCTGCACCAGCGTGTCTGGCCAGGCCGACCGCCCGGCCCTGGGCGAGCCAGCAACTCTCGCTCCTCTCGGGCGCGACGCGGGCAGCCTCACATCGCTCCAGCCCAAGCCACGCACCCAAGAGCCGGTGGCGCCTTGCCCCACGGCTCTCCCTGGCCTTTGACGGCATACCTTGGAAAGGACGTCGGCGTTCGGGTCGTTCTGCAGCAGGACGGCCGCAGTCCGGGTGTCGTCGTTGCGAGCGGCTATGTGCAGGGCCGGGAGGCGCACCTTCCCTTTGGTGCCATAGTTGATCAGGTGGGCCACCACGTTTTCGTGGCCTTGCTGAAGAGCCACCGCGAGGGGCGTGAAGCCGTCCTGCGCGAGATTGGGAGGGAGGCCGCGGTGAGCGGGGCCCGAGGGAGCGTGCGGAGGAAGAAACGCAGAGCGGGCCGACATACTCACTTCCGTGGCCACATTCTGGTTGGCACCGTTCTCCAGGAGGAACTTGACCACTTCCAGGTGATTCTCCTGCGCGGCCATGTACAGGGGCGTGAAGCCCTTCTGCAGAGACAGAACCGGCAGCGATTGGGAGGCAGCCACGGCAGCGCGCCAGAAGGGCGGGCCACCGGGGCAGGCGCTGAGCGACGGGGGGGGGGGGGGCTGTGGGGATGGGTGGAAAGAGCCGCAAGCTGCGAGGCTCCACACAACCACTGACTGTTGAAACCCTGCTCCTGAGTCTTGGCTCTTTGCATTGCCCCAGCAAGACCCGGGGAAACCAGAGTGGGGGCGTGGAGAGTGATGCAGGCTGGTTACCAGGCACTCCTGCTGAAATCTATGAGGAGACGCCTACAAGCGGGGAGGAAATCAGAAGGAAGGGGTGTAGCTTGATGTGGTTTCCCAGCTGGGGATCAGCAGTCTGGGCACAAGCAGAGGCTTATCGTTCATCTTACTACAGGGGTTTTAGAGTTGCTTTGTCTTGGAGCTGGGAAGAGCCGGACAAGGACTGCATTGCAAAAGGACTGCCTGGTGTTCTGGAGCTGATGGGTATGAAGGAACGGGTCAGACTCAAGGCACCGGCAAGGAACCCAGTGAGGTGTGCTCACGATCCATCGGGTTCGTTTCAGGGAAATTTACACAGTGCGATCAATCAGCAAAGCGGACCATGGGCTAATGAGCACCGGGAGGGTTGAGGTAGGAGGACCAAAAGGATTTTGGACCTTAGGAAGATGCAAATCTGCCCTAGGAAACCCTGTAACACCACGGAGGAGCAGAGCAGGGGTAGGACTTGGGGCGAGGAAGGACGGGCTTAGACAGGAAGGTTGGCTACGGGTGCAGAACAGTTCCAGGCTTTGCCAGCAAAGTGCAGCTTCCACTCAGAGCCTGATGAGCGAAGGGGAACGAAAGCGCTGAGGAGGGGAAGGAGAAAACACGCTCGCCTGCTGCACGCATGAAATCGACCGGCTGGGATTGCCGGCAGTTTACTCACCTGCTCAGAAAAAACAGCTTTGGCAGAGAGGCTGCACTGGGAGCCCAGAAAAGCGAGGCGCTTTCATGTTTATGCAAGCGTGCTCGGACCCCTCCGTCCTCTACGAAAATGGCTCAAAAGTGGAAAGTGCAAACGAGATTGAGAGGAGGAGGGTGTGTGTGTGTGTCTGTGTGCGAAGGCCAGTCCGGTCCTGCAAACAGACAGCTTGCCCTCTCGGCCCCGCAAGCTTGTCATTCTCCATCCTCCGCCACCCCTCCTGCCTCAGCGCTTCCCCTCCCCATTTCTCCCTGCCTCCCCAGCATTTCTTTGACCTTCAGATGCTTGCTTATGTAACTCCCCTTACACGAACGCGGCCGGTCACGGGGAGGCGGTGACACTCCGCGGCCAGCAGGGGGCGCCCGCGCTAGCCAGCAGCCCATGGCTCGAGCCGCGCGGGACTCGGCGCGTCGGTTCCACAGGGGAAGAGGGGCGAGATCCGAGAGCGCCGCACGGCTGGTGGGGCGGCGCAAGGGCGGCCGATCGGAAGTACCTGCATGGTGCAAACCGAAGGCTCCCGGTCGGAGGCTTTGAATGTGCAGGGCTGACCCCAAATGCAACGCGGGACCGCAGGAAGACGCCCAGCCAGGCTCAGATCCAAAGCTCTTTTCTGCTGTGCAAACCTTAACGCTGGTAGATCAGCCCGCCAAAGCCATCGGTGATGCATTCAACCTTTGCAGCCCTTGCCTGCACGCTCGCATGCATATTCTAAGTGCACTGCATGACACCGCGGCTCTCTTGCTCTCGCAAGGACCGTGAAGTGCCTGGCAAGATTCTCCTCCTCGCCATTTGATCCTCACGACGACCCTGAGGCGTAGGTCAGGCCGAGAGGCCGTGACCTGTCCAAAGTCACCCGGGGGGCTTTGTCACCAAAAGGGGTTCCTTTTGAACCCCAGTCTCTGGACCCCCAGTCCAACAGCCCATCCACTGTACCACACGGGGCAGGCACACACGCATATGGATTAATCGGTGGGAATCGATTTTGATCAATAGGGCTTAAAGCAAAAGGCAACAGGATTTCTTGAAAGGCTGACTTGGTCTGGTGTGCAATTGTAATCAGTAATTGAAAATGGGGCAGGTGTTAAAAGCTTGTCCTTCACCAGACATTAGCTTCGGTTTGAATAATCAAGCATCAATTCCAAGCTTTCCAAAATTTGTCAAAAAGGCACCAGTGTTGACATTTAGGTAGCTGGCAACTCTATGAATGCAATCAATGTATTAATTGGCTCAAAGACCTGGGATTAGCCCAGCCTAATTTAGGAGGCCGCCACTGCTTGTACTTGCCGATGTATTTCTCGCGCACTTTCTTTGGGGTGTGGGGGTTGTTTATGGAACAGAGTCTTGGAAACTGGTTTGCCTGCCCAGCTGGTGAGCAGCCATGCCCCGGACTCTGCCGCTTTCCTGGCAGCATCCCAAATCCAGCCCTACAGAAGTTTGGGCAGAAAAGGCGCCCACAATTCCAGCAGAGCTGAAGGCCCTTTCCCTGCCTAAAAAGCAGGGCTCTACATTTGCCCATCCAGAGCCTTTTCTGTCCATGTCCTACAGCCTCGGGGCTTTTTATTTTTCTGCCCGGGGGCTTGTCTGTTTGGGGAGCCTGCCCTCGAAATGCTTCTTCAGGGCACTCCTCTGATGCAATTTCAGCAGCAGGTGAAGGACGTCAATTGCACCCACCCCGGCTTTAAAAAGCAGACTCAGAAAACTTCTGCATCACGACTGCTGTCTCTTACTTCCTCACAGCATTTGATCCACTGTTGATTCTGCTGCTTCAGAGAAATGGGTCCCTTAAAACTTTGTGGGTGATCCTGAAAAGCCCCTGCCCTGTGGCTTCCTTAGCTTGTATGAACCTGTTGGAGGACATCCGGGGTGTCGGTTCGTGGCCTTGAAGCTGCCTCTCCTCGGTCCTGTGCTGGTCAAACGGGGGCCAGCCAGCCGGGCATGTTTTGTATGGAAAGCCTGCAAAGCCCCAAAGCTCAGCCTGCGTCAGGATCCGGGCCTGAACGACTCTGGAAGTGCTCGCACAACCAGGAGCGCCCCTGGGGGCACTCGCAAGGAGCACCTGTGGAACAACCCTGCAGTACTTTGCTCCAGCTCCTTCCTGCCTTCTTCAAGTCTGTTCCCACCTTGCTCCAGCTGGTGCCCTTCCTGCTCTTCCCGTCTTCCCGTAGACCCTGCCCTCCTCCAGCCTGCGACAACCCGCACACCAACGTATTTCTGGCAACCGACTTTGAAACTGTGCTCCGACTCCCCCTCTCCTCCTCTCCCTCTCCGCGCGTGCCGAACCCAGACTTTCATCCGCTGTTTGACCCGAACCTGCTGACTTGCCCAAGTCTCTGCCCCGCAGGGAGCTCCAGACTCAGTTCGGGCTCATGCCCTGGACCCGGCGCTCTGTGCCTCCCGGCTGCGGCCCACGCCCGGCCTCCCGGCCTGCAGAAACCGCAGGGAAGCTGCGCCGTGCGCAGAGGACGGCTCACCTGTGACTGCGCGTTGACATTTGCCCCGAAGTGCACCAGCTCCCGCACCACGTCCTCCTGTCCCGCCAGCGCAGCGATGTGCAGGGCCGTGTTCCCTTTCTGGAAAAGCAAGCGGGAGGTAAGGGCGCGGGCAGGCTAGGAACAAGGGCTGCCGGAGCGGCCCGGCACCTGAGGAACGTCGCCTCCACCGAGCGGGTCCAGGAGAAAGAAGACGCCTGCGCTGGCTGAGAAGCCCGCACCGTGCTGCCCCGCTGCCCATTCTCGACCTCAGCAGCAACACCAGTCACAGCCCTGACAGGGAGGAGAATTTCTGGCCCGGTTTTCTCTCACGTGGGTCCAGCTACCTCTGGGCTTTGGATATAGGAAAACATTCCCTGCGCACCCTAAACTAGCATCTCCGAATGAAGGCTCGGTCTCGCTTCCTGTCTGGCAAGGAGGGTGGTGCGTACCACAGAGGAGGTCCGGGCCTCAGGCCCACAGGGCAAAGAAAGAAAAAAGGAAAAAACACAAATATGTAATGTCAATTTACATGTGCACTCGTTTGTTCAGGCATTTATATACTGTTTGAATAGCACAGCACTCTGGCAAGAGAGTACAAGATCCTATTAAAACCATGCACAATGTAACACTCAAAAATAAATTTAAAGTGTGTGCGTATGTGCGTGCAAGGTGCCTGTCTCTTAAGGATGCCCCATCTGCAAAAAGAGGACAAGGGAAGGGGCGCCATTTGATTTGAAGAGAAAAACCCAGGTAGAAAGATTTGGGGCCAGCAAAAGGGGCAGCATGTGGGTCCCAATGCAGGGGAACCGATGCAGCAGGGTCCTTCGAGCCCCTGGACCTTTATCTGGCACGTGCCCATGGGCAGCAGGGTGGCGAGGCGGGAGGCACCCCAGGACTTCGGGGCTGCGGCTTAGCCGCCTGTCCTGCGCACGCTTGGAGGGCAAGGCGAGCTGGTCCTCAAAGCCTGTGCTGTTTTGGGTGCGTGTGGCCCAGGCAGGAAAGCTCCGAGGGATGCCTTCGGGCAGTTGCCAGTGGGGTTTCCTCTGGCCCGGGATCCTCTTTGAAAAACGCTCTGGGTCTGGCAACCGACCTTGGAATCCCTGTCGTGCCCCCAGTGTGGAAGAGCCGCGGCTCCAGCTGCCCGGCCGAGCGACCAGCAGCCACGCTGCCGGTGCCAGGCTAAGAGGGCTTCATCCACCCCCCCACCTGCACCCCCCCCACCACAGTGGAAGTGGTGACTGCAGGCAGAAAGATCTCCAGATGTTTGGGAGTGACCCCCAGCATGGCTCCTGGGAGTGGACCTCAAACATCTGGAGATGATGGGCATCAGGGTTGGGGCCACCATTTGGCTCAGGCCGCAGGTGGGAACGGCCCGAGAGGCCCGAGAGGGGCCCCGCAGAAAGGCCCCTGCCCGGGCAGCCCGAGCGGCCGGCCGCAGGAGGGGGGAGCGACCCCGCCCTCCCCATCCCCATGCCGCCTACCTTGGTGGTGGTCTCCAGGACGATCTCCTTGTGCAGCAGCTCGGCCACCATCTTCACGTGCCCCTCCTTGGAGGCCAGGTGCAGCGCGTTCAGCCCATTCTGGAAAGAGGAGGCGGCCCGTCACAGCAGAACAGTGGACCGTGGTGGCAGAAAGGCAGGCTCACGGAAGGGGGCGCCAACGGGGCAGAGCCCCCCACAACCTGGCGCGGGCGCTGCGTCCAAGCACAGGTGTCGAACCATCACGAATTGACTGAGTTACGGCTGCCTATCCGTGGAGGAGTCCTGAGGTGTCCCGAAATGGGTAGTGATCGGTGAATGCAAGCGTGGGAAGAACGTGCGAGGGAGGAGGGCGGCAAGGGACACACCTGCGGGGGGGGGGGGGTTAAAATAACTTGTCCTTTATTTGTTACTTCATCACAAGGCGCTATTTCCCCCACGTCCTTTCAGCTTGTCCACTCAGTTTGCTCTCCACTGCTGATCACTGGGAAGCCTACAAATGCCATGCAGTAGAAATTGCATCGAGATGGTCCGGAAAAGGTTCTTATCATGTTTTTTCCTCCATGAATGCCCATTTCAGCCTTTAAATCCTAGCAATAGGATTTAATAATGCTTCCGAGTTTCCCTATTGCTTCCACTTCTCAAGGAATATCTAAGATGCATGGTAGCTTTAATAAATACGCACTGCAATGCACACAAAATAATTCTGGGGAGTCTAATTTTGAATAGCGTGCTTCAAAGGACTTCCTGATATGACCAGACATAACACAAGATGTATTGAGAAATAGTAAAATAATATAATATATACTGGGATGGAAATCTGGTCAATGCTCAGTGCGTTTTGCCAATACACAGGGAAGTATGGCCCTGTTCCAGCGCCCGCATTTCAAGGAAAGCCTCTGGAAGTCCCCGTGCAAGTTTAAACTCTGCTTAGGCTTGTGACAATCCTGCAGAGGAATCCACCCCTCTTCTGCACTTCCGGCTTCTTTCTCGTGCTCAGCTGTGACAGGAAGCGATCCTTCCTCCGCAGCACGTGCAACACATATGAAGCCCACAAGTCTCGTGCGCAGAAGACTCCTCTTGTGCAGGGCTCATGCAGGCCCGATTCCTGGCGGACACCTGTGCAAACATTCAATGCCCGCAGTCCAAGCCGGATGCAGGGCTGCGAGGAAGCGGGGCAGAGTCCAGAGTCCGTCGGATTCCCACCCGCAAAGCAGATTCCTCACAGAGCCCTAGCTCCGTTTTCCAAACCTGCGCACGCTCTCCTTGGGTGGAGCTCAAGGCATGCCCCTCGGTCCCCTCCATGTGTTCATTAAAAGTCTGGAGAAGGGGGTGCTGCCGACGGGGGCCACGGCTGGCTCCAGCTATTCTTGGGGGGCCCTGCCAACGGAGCCAAGGGCTCCTGGCAGCTGCAGTCCAGCGACATCTGAGGTCCATGAGATGCCCACCTCTGCTAGCCTTTCCAAGCCCTGTGGTGTTTGTTTTAAGTACTAGTGTCACCTGCAAACCAGTAATGGGGTGTTTTGTGCTGCAGACCGTGTGTGCCTGCTGGGAGTGGGTGCATCCCAGCTTTCCCTGATTTTAAAGTGCATTTCTAGTTCTCACAGGGTCCCAACTGCTGACGAGGTGCGGTGGGCGACGGCAGCGCAAGCGAGGGACCCAGCCTTGCAGCCCGCCGGGAATAAACACTGCCGAGGTGAGGCAGAGTCGTGCCAGTGCGTGGACCCAGGCCCCGCCTCGCCGGCTTCCTCGCAAACGGGTGGGGAGTGTTTTCCCACTCGAGGGTCAAAGGGCGCGATGGGAAAAGGGCTTGCTGGGCGGCCCAAAGGCAAAGCGGGGAGGGGCGGGTGTGAGGACGCCCATTCTTAACCCACTCAAAGGGATCGGATCTGTCTGATCGGGGTTGTTCAGCCACAGCTAGTTGCCTCCCCGTCGCACTGCTGCGTCGTGGTCTTCGTGGGGCTGTCTTTAAAAACAGTTTGGAAATGCCTGCTGGTCCAGAAAGATGCAGGCAGAGGGTGGAGCGGGATGGTTACCGGAGAGCTGAGACCTCCCTTGTTACGGCACCTTCGCTCACAGCCCGTCTGTTGCTGCGTGGTTCAGATGCCTCTTTATGACTTGGCAAGCCTCGCATGGCTTGGGACCAGACCAGACCAGACTGCCAGCTAGGCTAGGCTGGGCTAAACGACCAGGCTGCCTTCTCCAAGCTTCTGTCCTGCTGGCCTTGGATGCTGTTTTTGTCCTCCAATTTATGGCAAAATAACGTATTTTATTGTGTTAACCTATTTTACATTGTTTTAGTAAGCCATGACTTTTTGGTAGAAAAGTCAGATAAAAAATCAAATTAAAGAAATAACCGGGACGAAAGCAGGGCCAGGATTGTGCGGATCGACTTGGTGGGGCTGAACAGTTCAGTTCCTTCCAAAGAGGAGCCCAGGCACCGACCTTCTGCATGGCCTCCACATGCATGGAAAAGAAGCAGCAAAAACAAAAACACTGGACCCCCCCCCCGAAGCCCCCCCACCCCCCGAACACAGACCTTATCCGGAGAAGTGGTCAGGTTTAAGGAATGCCAACAGGTGGATATGCTAACGCAGGGAGAGCACGTCGCAAGAGAGAGCGGCAGAGAAGAATGAGCGGAAGTCCAGGAGAGACAGAAATGGCAGCCAGAATGAGAAGCTTGGAGAAGATGGCGTGGCCAGGGGCAGCAAAGCGGAGGAAAGTCGAAGCCCACAAAGGCGCTGGAGCAGCTGGGCGGCCAGCCCGCCTCTGCTGATTCCCACAGGCCCCTCCCCGCCATGCCAGCGCCACCCCCCTCTGCATCCGGCGCCACGCAGGGCACCCCGAGGCCTGCCCGGGCCCGCAGCGCACGTGGACGCCTGCTTCTGTCTGGCTGGAGGCAGGCGCCGCTGCACGGTCTCTTTCCCGCCCGGCATCTGACGTGGCGCGTGAGAAGCGGACGAGGCGAATGCTTGCTCTCGGCGGCGATGAGGAAGAAGAGGCGGAAGAGGAGGATGGAATCGAGGTTGGTGCAGATGGTGATGATGACTGGATGGTGGGAGAGAGGCCTCGCTCGGCCGCGCGCGAGAACACAGGGCTTGTGGGCCAGGTCTAACCACATGTATCCCACCTTTATCTCCTACAGGACACGTGAGGTTGGACCTTGACCACAAGTGTGATATTCCCCGGGTGCAAAAGGTTCAAACGGGCCACGGGAGAACGCCAGGAAATGCGGAGGCTGCGTGGGCGCCCCGTCTTCACAGCACAGGTCCCAGGATGGGCGGGTGGACAGCTTGTGGCGCAGACACCTTGTCTGACCTACACACAAACCTCAGCTCTGCCCCAGGCTCCTCCTACTTCTCTGCGCTGGTTTGCTTGCTTGTGCCCGAAAAGGCCACGGCCCTTCCGGGGCCCCGAGATGCCTCTCCATTTGTTTACGCGTGTGCGCATTCTCGAAACCAAGTTTGCAGCCTTTATGGATGCAAAAATATACCTGGAAGAGTGCCT